TTTTGAAGCTGCTGACTTTTTAATTTTTTTTTTTATTTTGACTGTTGCTCTGCTTTAATGTACTCTAAAATTGTCACCTTTTCTACAGTCTCCTGGACAATATGGTAGCACTGCACAAAACTGTTGGTATCATATAAATTCTGTAAAATACGAGGAGCGTTCAAGTCAAGCCGGGACTTTTGAGTTTATATAATTAAAGAACAAATTTCAAGAAGTGGAAGCTACATTTATTTTTTTTACATACTCCCCTGCTACATTTATACACTTGTATCAGCATTTTGCTAATGCCTGGAAAATATTGGCATAGAAAGATTTGTCAGTACACCTGAACCAATCTAGGACAACCTGCTTCACTTCATCATCAGTGTTGAAATGCTGATCTCTGAGGAACTCTTTTAGGGGTCTAAACAGGTGGAAATCACTCAGAGAGAGGTCCAGGCTGTAAAGGGGATGTGGCAATACGTACGTAATGTGCACGTAATGCAGTGAGCAGTATGAGCTTGTGTGTTGTCCTGGAGAAAAAGGATGCCCTTAGTGATCAAACGCAGTGCAGACTTGAAGCTGTCTTGGTACACAGCATGCGCTAACTTTTCAAAAATGCAAATGTTCATGAATGATTGATTGTATTCATCGTACCAAAAGAAAGATTCATCTCTTGTGTAGTTTCACGACCGGTCATGCATTGATTATCCAGGATCAGGCATTCCACGTACTGATTGTTCAAAAGAATGACTGCTGTGGGCTGGAAACTGCCACCGCTGGGATCGTCACTGATGGAAGTACGGCCATATTTGAAACGTTTACATTCATATGTCTTACTGAGGCTGAGCATCTCATCACCGTACTGTGCTTGAATTCTTCTGTAGATATCGGTTGGTTTAATGCCTTCGTTCACAAGAAACTTCATCACCACACCAGGGGCGGACTGACAACTCATGGGGCCCCCGGGCAATAGGGGATCATGGGGCCCCTGTGTCCTTGCCCACACTCAAAAAAGCCTATGAAAAAGGTACCAGGGGCATCTCATGGGGCCCCCTACTGACCCCGGGCCCTCAGGCAGTGCCCGAGTTTCCAAATGGTCAGTCGGCCTCTGCACCACACGCTGTTCTATACACGCACTAACACTGTTGTCTGCTATCTTGATTAACGGTCTCTGGACTGACCCACAACATTTGCATCGTCTATCAGTGATAGGACACATTTGCCACTTACTACTGTGTGTAGTACCACCACACTAGCATACCTTTTTATACCTGTAAAATTAAAAGTTCTGGTTTGACCCGAATGCCCCTCGCAAAAATAATAGTAATATAAAAAGTGCAAGTGTCAAAACCGTGCTAGTGAATGAATCAAGTGAAAAATAGGCATCCAAAACAACTTGTGTAACACTGTGTCCACTTCTATGGTGTAAGGAGTGAATACCCTTACCAAAAAATTGTAAATAATATGCCTTTAAACCTCTCGTTGAAGGTAATTATCACAAATTCCACTTCAACCAAAGGATCATCACAGCCTCATGGATCAGATCAAGATGTTATCCAAATATAGCAGCTTTCAAATTCAACCATCAATGTCCACCGATGCCCACCTTATATAGAATAAATCCTCGTGTAAACCCGCATATACAATTAAAAAATACTTTTATTATATATGCTTACATCAAGATTCCTCTTTAAAAATGCCTTTCATAAGATATCCAGACCTCTAGGAGTTCCCTGGCATCCTCCACATGAACTTCCATGAGGTATTGCCAGATTCTAAGATGGCCGCTGGATAACTTATGATTAAGTCCGATGACGAAACGCATCAAGGGAAGTGACGCCAGACGCACAGCGGAACTGGAAGTGATCCAGCAGCCATCTTAGAATTTGGCAATACCTCATAGAAGTTCATGTGGAGGATGCCAGGGAACTCCTAGAGGTCTGAATTTGAAAGCTGCTGTATTTGGATGACATCTTAATCTGATCCATGAGGCTGCGATGATCCTTTGGTTGAAGCGGAATTTGTGATAATTAACTTCACCGAGAGGTTTAAAGGCATATTATTTACAATTTTTTGGTAAGGGTATTCACTCCTTACACCATAGAAGTGGGGACAGTGTTACACAAGTTGTTTTGGATGCCTATTTTTCACTTGATTTATTCACTAGCATGGTTTTGACACTTGCACTTTTTTCACTATTTTTGTGATCACGCATGGTTGTTTGCATTTATCACACTTGTCTGATTTATATTGAAAGGGTTACTTAAGATAATGCACTATGTGATTTTTCTTTTTTTTGAGGTTTCTTTTTGGCCATAGGAGCCATTGGAAAGGCATAATATGAAGATTGATGTCTGGATTTGACACAGAGTGACGTTTTGTTTTTGGAAAAACTATATCAATTTAATTTATTTTTGGACTTTATTTTTGTGATATATATATTTTTGGGAATATTATATTGGTACTAGCATATTCATACTCACAATATATATGCATTACCTTGTTAAGTACATACAAGGCTTTTTTTTTACCCCTAATTATTGTCTTGTAACAGTTTTTGTTTTTTTGCAATACGTAGACAATTAAATGTAACAAAACTTAACAAAGCACACTTTTTTCTTTCTTTTCTTTGACCAGTGTTACTTTAAAAATGTAAAAACTGTGTTACTGCACATAAAAATGTGCATTTTATTCTGTAGTTTTTCTGTTTAAGGTGCCTTTCTTGCAATGCAGACTCTGCCAGGAGTCTGCATGCTCAGTGGGGGATCTGTCTGTTGATCCCCGCTGAGCAGGCGGATGGCTGGCCTATGTTCCCTCCGCTTATACAGAGTGATGCAGCCAGAGCCCACTCTCCGTCTATCCATTTACATCCTACTGCCATCCGATCTGCTAGATCAGCCTTTCTCAACCAGGGTGCCTTCAGGCTTCTTCAGGGGTGCCTTGGCAAAATGCCCAAAAATTGTATACAAGCCAGTAGGTGGATCAATCCTGCCTTTTAGTACACAAAGCCACAGGTTTTCATTTTCATCGTGCACTTTTATGAACTTCTAGCTGCTAGCATCCTAACAACCAATAACATTACCTGTTGATAAGGAGGATGTCGGGTGCATCCACATCATCCTTGTTTGGCCCTCCCCTGCCCCTCTCCGTCAGCACTGGGTTCACATTAGCAGAATGAGGGGGGGGGGGGGGGGGAATGAGTTTGACACACTGGAATACTAGTTAGTACCAGTGTACAAAGGTGTATTTGCTTTGGAAGAATAAACCTCTAACATTGGGTGTATTGGGTGTAGAATAGGTTTTTACATTTTTGATTGGGGTGCCTTGAGATTTTGCAGAATTTTGAAGGGTGCCTTGAGATTATCCATAATTTTAAAGTGTGCCTTGACTAAAAAAAGGTTGAGAAACATTACACTAGATGGTTCGGGAACGAAATCCCCATCCATCTGTTTTAGCGGATTGGATGTAGGCGGGTGTAAACGTATACATGTCTGGACAATGGAGGGTCCGATCGGGTCTGCTGAAAAAACTAACAGGCAGACCTGATCAGCCCGCTCATGTGAAAGGGGCCTAAAATGACAATAAAATTATGATTCTGGTACAAAGCATTACAAAATTATTTACAAATAAAAAAAAATAAAAATAGGAATTTTTTTTTCAGTTGTGTACTATTTTTAAATTTGAATGTAAATGTGAATGTAATATTAATGAACAAACAAGCAAGGACAAAAAAAGTTTAATAATGATTAATAAAATATAAACAAAAAAAAATCAGGAGAAAATTAAATGAATGGAGAGGAATAAGGACTTAATTAGTGCTGATTAGAGCAAAGTAGGGGTTAATAAGAGGTTAGACACGTTTTATTTAAAAAAAAAAAAGCCAAAAACAACTTGTCAAGTTGCTTTAACTGAGGACATCTGCAGATTGATATGTATCCCTTTGATCTGCAGATGAATGAACAGAATGACACAAAAGTAATATGTTACATTGTATCTTTCTATATCTTTTTGTAGCATCTGAGCAAATCTTATTTGTAGACCCTGCCAGACTTTTTTTTTTTTTTTTTTTTTTTTTTACAGCTGAAGAGGGACACATACTGTGTACAATGATGACCTTTTTTAGGGAGTGTGAAGCACACCCAAAGTCTAGTTACACAAGCATCTAGTGGGCTTCTACAAGCTTTCAATATGCTTCAGCCCCTGTTCACATATATGCGGTGCGGGAAACGCTGCGGTCTCTGTGCGTTTTCCATACCACATTGCAATTTCACCGTGTTCTGCTATCTGCTGGTGTCTAGTCAATGTTAAAGACACAACACAGTGCATTTTTCCTGCATTGGATCACATGATACAAAATTACTATGCAATCCTGTTCCAGTGTGGCTCAAAAAAGGTGCCTACATGTTTTTTTTGTGCTATGCCCATTCAAAATGAATAGGCTCAAACCGCACTGCACAGAATCGCATGTGAATTGCACAGGAATGCAGTGTGATTCCTGTGCTATTCACATGCGAGCTATAGTGTGAACCCAGGCTCAGATAGTAAGGCTACTGTCAGCTTGTTTAAAGTGACAGTCAGTGCTTCCATTACAATCTGCCTTTAGCATTAGCAAGCTGGAGCTGAATAGTAAAAACTTCCAACAATGCTGCTTCTTACTGAAAGCTTTGTAAATGCTTTGCTGTCAACATTGCTCCTATACAAGCTGCAGCCTGGAAGAAAACTTCTTTTCTGCATCCAAATCTGAAATACCTGAAATTTGGTTTATTAGATTGAAATTGTAGGCTCATATAACTCATGTTCCCAAGATTGAAGCAAAAAAAATGCAAAACTATTAATTATGACATTTATGACATATTGCTCTGCCTTTTTGAACAGCTATGGTAAGGATCAGTGACACTGCAGAGCTTGCAGCAGTAGTTATGGTTGTGATGTGTGCACACATTGTTTCCAGTGCTCTATAGCTGTTTGTCAGGAAAGCTTTGCCTCTCTACCCCCCAGATTCGAATCCTGAAGTAACCATGGCCATGCTCCGTTGGATATATACAGATGAGCTGGACTTACGGGAAGACGATATCTTCTTAACAGAGTTGATGAAGCTTGCAAATCGGTTTCACTTGCAGCTCCTTCGAGAGAGGTAAGGTGTTATGACAGCCACACACTAAAGGCCTGGGTCGATGGGCATTGGTTCACTTGAAAACTTGGTCCCCATACAAGTCTATGGAAATACGAAAGTAGCTGAAGCAGGTCAAATGCAGGTAAACTGCATTGAGGTGTCTCAGACAATGTCAAAAGCATGCTGCATTAACCCATAGAAGCCCACGGATACAGGCTCCAAGATCACCATGTATAAGCATTGCTTGAGAATATTGAGTTTTGTATCATTTATTGATTAGCCACAGTGGGCATAGCAAAATGCATATGATATGACATACTCCATGGTGATTTTTACTCTGAAGTTCTCTTTTAAGTAAGGAAACTAACTGCTCTTGAATTTTAAACCGATTGGTGCAGCTTTTTAAGATGATTTTATTCTATATCAGGTGTGAAAAGGGTGTGATGTCATTGGTGAATGTTAGGAATTGTATCCGTTTCTACCAGACAGCAGAAGAACTGAATGCAACCACTCTTTTAAACTATTGCGCTGAGATCATTGCAAGTCACTGGGTAAGAAAAAATTGTATTCTATATAGGTTCTAGTAAATGGGTAAAAGTTGGTCCTGTCCCCCTCCACATCCCTGGTAGTGCTTGTCCTTGCTAGCCAATGGGGGTCTTTCTTTTAATTGACTATAGGTATGAAACTATGAATTGTTTTTGCATGTGGTTATCAATAGCATTGAATAAGTTTATTCTGCTAATATTTAAATGATTAAATAACACTTTTTCATCTTCAGTACATACTATATTTTAAACCCAGTGATGTCATCAAAGGGTCTATGTACTTCTTTATGCAATGTAGGCAGATTATGATGTGTATGAGGGACCAGCAGGATGCTGTACATAGATTCCTGAAAACATCACAGTACCTTGCCGCATGCTCCTCTTAAGAGCCCTCGGTGCCAGTTCACACCAGAATGAGCTGCGGGAAACCTGCATTTGGTGCACTTTTCCCACACTACGTTAGAAACGCTCAGCAGTTGTGATCTGTAGCTGGTGTCAATGTTAACTTAATGACACCCCAAATGCAGGTTGCTAACACAGTGCGTTTACCCGCACTGGATCTTATGGTACAGTAGCATCATACGATCCAGTTCCTGTGCATTTGTTAAAGTGGTGCATGCACAACCTTTCGTGCGGTCCAGCGTGATTTCAGCCCTCTTAAACGAATGGGCTGAAATCGCACTTCACTCGAATTGAATGTGAATTGCACAGCATGTTTCTGTGTGATTTATGGTGTGAACCAGCCTTCAGCCCTGATGCAAGCATTGAACTGGCTCTTGGGAAGAGATATGCAAATATCAAAATGCTGTGATGGGTTGATGTCAGTCTCGAAGAGTGGGAATGTGTTGGGAAGGGCAAAAAAATGTGATCTGTAAAGGAATTACTAAGTATATCTAATGCCTATCTAGAGGGGGAAAAAAGTCCCCCAAAGGATGACAAAACAACAGACAATTGTGTCATTGGTGTCATTTTCCAGTTAGTTCACCAGTAATAATCTTGACAATCCTGGAAATGTGTCTAATTGCTGATTTGTTTTTTTGATCTGATTGTTTAGGATGACCTAAGAAAAGAAGATTTCAGCTCAATGAGTGCTCAGCTGTTGTACAAAATGATTAAGTCAAAGACGCAATTCCCTTTACACAAAGCAATTAAGCTAGAAAGAGAAGACGTGGTTTTTTTGTATCTGATAGAGATGGATTCCGAGGTATGGTGAAGTATTGACATTTCAACTCACAGCAAAAAACAATAGCCTGTGTCTAATTGCTTAGTCCTCAAACTGCTGGATTGTTGAGTACAGACATTATGCACCATGTCTGTTATAACACACACACACAAAAGAGAAAGTGGGGAGCTCAAATTTAAAGCTGAAACTAAACAAACATATATACAGAGATGAAATACAAATATGAGAACTGTTTAACATGCTCAAAGGACCTGTACTTCTTTCCATCAAGTCCTGAAATCTACACAGCACAGTCCTGGGTGGCAGGTGACGAGACCGAATGTTCGCTAGCTTCTGTTTCACTTTGACTTTCAAGTCTGCTTCACACCCTGTGACTGGACAGTGAAAAGAAAAGTGCAGTTATGAGCTATTCTCTTTGTCACTCTGCCTGCACCTCCAGTCAGAATGCCCCTTTCACTACAATGTATTTTCGAATTAAAAATACATTTAAGGATGTAAAAATTATTATAGAGCTGCATTTTGGGGGTTTGTGTCTGCCTATAAAAATCAGCTTTAACTTTTGGTCCAGTCCATGTTTAACTGCTTCCACACCACCCTACAGCAGAAATACTGCTATAGGGCGGCATGGGTGTGCAAAAACACGTATATGTACGTGATTTTGCAGTCCCGGGTAGGATGTGCATGCGTGTTGCCATTCGTGTCCTCGGCTGTCAATCACCAGGTCCCGGCTGGTGATTCCCTGCCAGCACCTAATGATCTCCGAGTATTTCCGATGGGGGAGAGGCCTGTATGTAAACAATACAGATCTCTCCCCTGTCAGCTCTGTATAGTAGAGCCATACAAAGCAGAGTGCTTACATTGTAAAGCACACAGCCCACATAGTAAAACAGCACACAGTTAACCCTTTCATCGCCCCACATAATAATCCCTTCCTGCCCTGTGACGTTAGTACAGTGTCAGTGCTTTTTATTAGCACTGATCACTGTATTGGTGTCACTGGGGATGTCAGTGAAACCAAGTCAGTTCCCCCCAGTGTCAGAATGCCCGCCGCAGTCCCACTATCGCTGATCGCCACCATTACTAGTTTAAAAAAATAAATAAATTAAAAATTCCATTATATATACCTCCATTTGTAAATGCTATAACTTTCATGTAAACCAAGTAATTTACACGTATTGGGATTTTTTTTTTTAGCAAAGGTGTAGCAGAATACATTTTGACCTAAATTTATGACCAAATTTGATTTTTTTAAATTGTTTTACTGGACATGTTTAATGGCAAAAAGTAAAAAATATAGGTTTGTTTTTTTTTCCCAAAATTGTTGGTCTTTTTTTGTTTATAATGCAAAAAATAAAAAACGCACAGGCAATCAAAAAAATGTTGTGCTATGTGTAAAAAAACGTGCATATAAATCGTGAAAACAACTGTGACCATAATATGTACAAATCGTATAAAAAGCGATATCATATATGGTCTATATAAAGGACGATATAATAATTTTTAAAGCCCATGTGTATAATATCTCAACAAAACAATTGGTGAAAAGAACTTGCATTCCTAAAGTGCAATGGTATATATGTACAAATAATCTTTCCGTCCAAATAGTCACCAACGTGTACAAACCACCACCATGTGGACAAAATGGAGGCTTACTAGATGAAGAGACCCCTTAACTACAGGTGGTAATTAATTGCTTTGTGTCAATATAATTCCATCCGGACTTCTATGTCAAATATGAATCCAGGTTCCCCTTACATTAGTACACACTTCCCTTGGCCTTGTCGGGACAGTATTCTGGAAAATAAAGCATGCCTCTCATAGTGCAGTAAAACCAATGTGCCTTTGTTGCGTGAATATAATATACTACTTACATATGTAAAGAGGAATAACAGCATTCATAGACAATTTCCAAAATGGTGGACAGCGTGATGATGTCAGAGGGAGGCTCCTTCCGATGCGTTTCGTCATCAAAAACGTCTTCCAGGGCTTAGGGAGCTGCCCTCCATCACCACGCTTATATAAGAAAAAAACAAGCCTCGATTTGGAATAAAACCAACTTCAATCCTATACAGGAACCGGAAGCCAATGCATCCAGAACAAAGCCTCAATTTGGAATAAACACCATTGAATACAAGGAACTAAAAAAAGATATTACATCTGAACTGCGAAAGATGTCAATAGTGGGCTGGAATGAACCAGAACATACGCTCAATTCATAACCGAATAAACAAGTCCAGCCCAAATAAACAAAAATTCTTAGGACAATCAATAGATAAATATTAATTAAAAATATAGAAGGCCAAAAATATTCAGAATTAGAAGACAGGATTATAATGGTATAATTTGCTAGCTGTGACGCCATCTAAAGTTTTTAACATAAAAAAGGAAAAAAGAAAAACATACAAAGCAATATGTATGATTAAAATGTAGGCCATGTTGACCATAAAGGCCCATAATAGTAATCCATTAAACAATTATTCACTGTTCATAAATACACTAAAAAGTAAAAAATCAATCAAAAATAATAAAAATATACAGATAACTAAAAAATTGAGAGAAGCTACAAAGGAACCCATATGACCATGAACCTCCCTAATGGTCCCTAACAGAAATGAGATGAATGAAAAGTGATATCAAAGAAAAAATTAACAATTTAAGGACGAAAATGCCCATCAAGCACTATTGATAAATGCATTGATATCCCAATCCACATTCATTTCCATAAGGCTCATAACATTTAACATTATGTATCCACTTGGTCTCAAGTTTGGAGATTTCCCTCCATATTGCGCTCCCTCTCCAACGTGGAGTGAATTTATCAATTCCTAAAAATAAAGTACCGGTGGGATCCTCATTATGGAATTTAGCATAGTGTCTAGAACTATGCCCTTTGAAACCTCTCTTGATATTCCTCACATGTTTCCCCAATCTAATTTGGAGAGTACGGGTGGTCCTCCCAATATATTGAAGGCCAAGCAAGCACTGTAAAAGATGAAGTACAGGTAATGAAAGGTACAATGGAGTGATTCCAAGATGTGGCAGTAGACGCAAAGGACTTGGTGCCCTTGTGTGAACATATATTAATTTGACATATCGAGCACCTTTTGCATTTATAGAAACCCTTTAGATCCTGAAAAAAAGTGGTATGGGGGGGGGGGGGGAACGCCATGAAAGATCACCACAAAAGATCACTTGTGGTTTAGAGGGTAAAATACGCTCAAATACCACCGAAAGAGAGCTCTATTTGTGGAGAAAAAAAGGACGTAAATTGCATTTGGGTGTAGCGTTGCGCATGACAGCACAATTGTCAGTTAAAGTAATAGGTTTTTTTTTGTTTTTTTTTGTGTGTGCTTGTGTGCATACAGATTCCCAGCAAATCAGAGAGGGGAAATGGGGGATGACCTACTCATCGGAATAATTCAGCGTTTTGCATAACTGAATTTAAAGTGTGTGGCCAGGCACAATAAAAAGCACCACATTTCTGCAATGCATACATATTTTCCCTTCAAAGACCCTGAAAGTACAGAAAATTATGTGTAGATGTGCTAGTAATGCACTCAGCACCATACGTTATGCAATTTTCTTTCCTTAAACTACGGGTTGAAGGAAAGAAAATAGTTTGATTCTCTCATCAACACCGTATTGACAACGATATATGACATGTAAATATTTTAGATGTTCGTTTTTAGTTCTGAACCTAAAGGGAAAAGTACGCACACAAACTCATAGATATAGATAAATAAATATTTATGAGACAGAAGGAAGAAATTGACAACATTACGCAAATAATTTAAATGCCTGTTACAAGCTACAAGATGTTGAAAATGCACTCATAGATCTAACGTAACAGCTAATTTTGGTCTGGTCATGCTTACTCTCATACCCTTTTTTAGTAGTATACCTTTTACAAAACTGGGTGCCTAACTAATTTACACTGCTTTAGTCAACACATAAAATTACACCGACCAGAGGAATCCATTAGACTTACTCCCAATTGCTGCCCACTCACCATTAGACAGATTGTGTTGTTTATTTTTGTGTAATAACACTGGACATTGTTTGTCTTTGGAGTGTCTACCCTGTATTGTATATTGATTGCATTATAACTCTAATATTTTGTTAAAGCAGTTGTAAAGACTCAAGGTTTTTTACCTTCATGCATTCTATGCATGAAGGTAAAAAAACCTTCTGTGTACAGAAGGCCCCCCCTCCCTGATACTTACATGAGCTGTATCATGGTCCAACGATGTGCATGAGATCCTCGGCTCTTTGAGGATTCTCTCTCTTCATCAGCTCCCGCTGCTGTCAATCACAACCAGTGAGCCAATGAGGAGAGAGAGGGGTGGGAATGGACATGCAGAGCAGTGGCTCCAGAGAGAGCCTGCTTGTGTGCCCTCATAGCAAGCCACTTGCTCTGGGGGCACTTGGTAGGAGGGAGGGGCCAGGAGCGCAGGCGGGGGACCCGAGAAGAGGAGGATCGGTGCTGCTTTGTGCAAAACCACTGCACAGAGCAGGCAAGTATAACGTTTGTTGTTTTTATTTATTTATTTTTTTAACCGTAATTGCCTTTAATATCACTTTAAAGCTGAAGATTACCTAAAAGAAAATCTGTACAGGTTTAGTCACATCACTTGCCTGTAATGAAGTATGTCCCACGTTGTTCAGTCTGCTGGATTCTGGAGAAAGCCTAGTGAAACATTTCGGGGCTCATTTATAACAGAGCGTGGATTTCACTCTCTGCTCCTAATTATACTCCATAGGGTTTTGCACACATTGGCCCATTCATAAAAAGCAGACAGCAGTGTGCAGCCTGCAGTGCCCCACAGCATTCTCTCAATTTTAACCAGTAGAGAGAGCCCTGTGATTAGAAGAGTACCGGTCATGTGACTTCAACAGGTTATATCACCCTGTATACCTCCCCAACCTTTAACACACCATTCATTTTTATTGTGCTCTGTCAGCTCTGGGCTCCCAAAGCCAGCAGATCTCAATGCATATTGGTAAAGCACACTTTTCTAATTGTGTGGAGTGTTATGTTTTTTAAGCAGCGAATATGGACATGGAAGGGCCCAGGTTAGATCACAAGATCATATAACATTATTAAGACTCTTCTAATGCTTATGAGTTTTCTATTTCTTTTAACTCAAGCAATTTTAAACTGTTATTACAGTTGCCTAGAAAGCTCAATGAGCTGGACCAAAATGGAGATCTCGCTCTGGATCTTGCACTTTCCCGAAAGCTTGAGAGCATCGCCACTACTCTGGTTAATAACAGAGCAGATGTTGACATGGTAGATAAAAAAGGATGGAGCCTTTTGCACAAAGCCATCCAAAGGGGTAAGTGATGGAATCGGCAGCAATTTTCTAGATGATGATCTGTGACAGTTTTTAGTAATCTTTACTTTTTACAGATGATAAATTTGCTGCCACTTTCCTCATCAAGAATGGTGCTCTTGTAAATGCTGCTACTATTGGTGAACAAGAGACTCCCCTACACCTGGTAGCTGCTTGCACAGTGAAGGATCACAGCCTGGAAGTGATGTCTGATGTAGCACAAATAGCTGAGGCACTTTTACATGCAGGAGCTAATCCAAACATGCAAGACGGTAAAGGAAGGTAGGTATTGACTTGTTTAGAAATTTTGAATATTTTATTTGCGGATTATGCAGCACCTCTAGTGTCCTGTAAACACACACCTATAGCAGTCAATCTGAAATCTTATTTTCCTTACTTTCAGGACTCCGCTTCACACTGCTATTCTTTCTAGAAATGAGTATGTTTTTAACCAGCTGCTTCAGTGCAAACAGTAAGTAATCGGAGAAAATGACTGTTTTCTTGTTTTTAAAATTTTTGGTTGTTTTATAAGCCAGCAATAATTGTGGACTTCCTCTGCTCAAAATGCTTCTTACTTTCTTGACCCAGTACAAGCCTGTTGTAAATGAAAGTCAGAAAGGTCAGAATTGGATCAGGGAATAAACCTTATGTTTAACACCATAAAGTATGCAAAATTTAGTGTTTAATGCAATACCTGAAACAAAAGTGGGAAGCTGCTTGCATCAAAGCAAATGGCACAGGATCTATGAATGGAGAGGGTGGAGCTATCAATCATCCGCTCATCCCCTATTCATAGATCCTGTGTCTTTTATAGAAGCTGTAGTATGGCTTCTATGAATGGCAGAACTGTCAGGAAAGGGCTCTTAATGAGAGCTTCTGACATCCCTTTTTGTATCAACCCCTGCTGCACCAGATAATTACACCCTGTTTGGGATGAGGTGTTGGGATGTATTTAGGACAAAGGAAGATTTCTGGTGAAAGGAAAAGAATCGGCAAAAGTGGCACAGATGACTTGCTAGGCCACAGGTGTCAAACACAAGGCCTGCAGGCCATATTCAGCCCTCTAGGCCATTTCATGTGGCCCTTGCACCTCTCCTGCAGGTAACCCCTTGTCTCTGCCCCCATCTTGTCTCCTCTGCCAAATCCTGCAGCTCTAGCACCCCCTCTTCTCTGCCACCCCCTCAGCATTCATCAGACTCTGGTAATTGAGTCCACTCCTCCTCTTGTCCTCCTCCAGACCCTGCACTTTTGCTTTCCGGCTCTGCCCTGAAAGGGTGTGCACGGTGATGTTAGAGAGGGTGTGGGATTCTTGACATCTGATGTAATGGGGGGTGTGGTGCTCTGGACATTTAGTCTTACAGATACAACTGGCCCTTTGAGGGCAACCATAATGCTGATATGGCCCGCAATGAATTGCAGTTTGACACCCCTGAACTAGATTATGTCCCTAGTGTGGATTTTTCTGTTTTCTATTTTTAGCTATATGCAGGCTTTAAAGTATTGAAGACAATCTGCAGGGAAAGTAGAGAACTAGCATTTTCCAGAGAAAAACTTCAGCAGTGGCCACCTATATGTTTTCCTTGTGACAGGTTTCCGTTAAGGGTCCATTCATTCTTGTTCACTGCAGCAACCTGTGTATTACTGCAACACATGCCAATATTCCTGCTCTGTGTGTGGTGTTTTGCAGTCCGTTTATTGTGAATGGCATTCATATAAATTGTTCTGTACAGAATTATACATCACAGTTCACTACACACATATTATTGCTAAAAAAGGGTCATGTATGCTTCTTGATCCTTTGTAGTGCTTTGGCAGGACATTCATAATACAACTGTTAAGCACTGTAAAGGAATTTAAAGGTGTGAATCCAGTCTAATTGAAAGGTATTACAGTGTTGCTTTGTTCTTGTCTGCTGCACTATTGAATAGAAAAACCACTTGTTATCTGCGATAACATATGGCAATATATAAAAGCCTATCAGGGTTTTTTGGTTTTTTTTTTTCCTCCAGCACCCATATAAATATAGCAAGAGTAATATAAAGTGATGACCTAAACTGACATTTTCAGATTTTATGTCTAGGGTAAAAGGACCTAGGTTTTCCTGTAGAGCTTCTTTTTTTGTCCATAACACTTAGGCCCCTTTCACACAAGGTGGGGGCTCCATTTAGATCAGCAGGGGATCTGTACAATATGCATTGGTGCTTGAGGAAATGTTGGGAATCACCATCATAAATGATAAAGGTTTTCCTTAGGGGTATGCCTAAACTGAGATGTCATAGTATTTCCTTACTTGTACCAAGCAAGTAAGGGATTTCAAATAGAACTTTAATCCCTGGTTGAGGTTAGACAGAAAGATCTGTTTGGGTGGGGGCCAAGAGTTCTCTATTTGTTTTCAAGTCAAGAATCACCTATGCGTGCAAGACGGGTGGTAGATTTGACACGCTGACTGCAAGTCTATTAACAGGACGATTTGATTTTCTTATTACAAATATAGCTCACTAGGATAGTTTTTTGTCTCTTTTTCTATATTAAACCCAAAGCCAAAAATATAATATAGTGCAGCACGCCTTTCTTTAAATGTGGTGGCTGCATGAGTTTTCTTTTTTTTTTAAGGCTTTTTCCCCTCCATTTTCACCTGGTGATCTGGCCAGTTACACATCTCCTGTATTAGAGTGCCCCCTTTCTAGACACGAAGGAGCACAGGGGGCACCTTTGTACTGCAGCATTGTCAGTCTAGTAGGAGGGGAGTGTTAGATGGACTAGCAAATTAGAAGCCAGTTACAGCAAACCTTTTTTTTTTCCTTTTTGCGATAACTGTTTTGGACATAAAAAAAGCTGATCATTGTAAGCACCCCTGTCAAGGGTAAATGGTTTTTCCTATTGCTGTAACTGCAAGAGAGTTTGCTCTTTTGAAAAACAACAGACTTACTGGCCAGATCACCAGATGAAAGTAGAAAGAAAGCCAAAAGCCATCACATTTAAGAATTGGTAAGCTGCAATATGTTTGCTTTGGGTGTATTACTGCTTTAAGTTCCATCTCTCAAAAACTCCTGCACTTTTGATTCAGAGGCAACCAAAACAAGAATCTCTTGCCAACTGTTATAAAACACATTGCTCTTTTTTACCTGTAACAGTGATGAAATTAATGTAGAATATCAAGGTACTTTGGATGGGAATTGACAGTGATGTATTTGTTAGATTAGATTTAGAACTAAAGGATCATGAGGGAAGCACAGCGCTGTGGCTGGCAGTTCAGTATATCACTGTGTCTTCGGACCAGTCTGTGAACCCATTTGACGATGTTCCCGTTGTGAATGGAACTTCATTTGATGAGAATAGCTTTGCGGCAAGGCTTATCAAACGAGGCAGCAACACAGATGCACCTGACACTGTAACAGGTAAACACAAGAGGTTTGTATTCACTATTGCCCTGTACCTTCTATAGCCCTTGCTGTCACAATTTCTGTTTTCTTTTTCGATTATAGATTTTCTGATTAGATCTTAGTTATTCATGTTACTGTTGTGCATTTGAAACAAGAGAATGCTTGTGAAATATTGTAGGTAATTATATAAAATCATTTTTTTGACTTATCTATTTGGTGAAATACGTGTTGTAAGTTAAAGGATATGTTCACCTTTTGACCAAAAATAAATGCACTTTTTTTTTTGCAGGTAAAGAAATGTGCACTTATTATTTTTGGTTTGCAGGAGCCAGCTAAGCATTGCACCAGAGATCAGCAGATCGCTGGTGCCATGCAGGTCTCCTGCAGACCTGTCAGTATATCTGCTTGCCGTATGGGATATACGGGCAAGCAGATATACTGACATGAAGATTCAATGAACTACCACGGCGCTCCACAGCATTGTGGTAATTCATTGAGAACTACAGGCTGACAGTCATTAAGACTGTCGGGACTTGTAGTTCATTCATTCACAGAATACTGTGAATTAATGACATGGCCGTGTGGGTGGAGCTAGTACAGGGAAATTCTCCCTGTACTTCTTTCACAGGGGGTGGAACATGTAACATGTTCTTAAAGGTGAGCTTATCCTTTAAGCTTTGGTTCTGGTGAGTGAAAATAGTAGTTTGACAGGAGACTGGTGAAACTACCACTGGTGATCTGCTAAGATATCTCTATTTTTTTCTTTTCTCTTCTTTTTTTTTTTTGTTTACACTATGCTTTATCAGCTCTTTACATCCCCACCCACATTGTATATTGCAATGAAAATGTTTATTATGAATTATTGAGTATGAACTTGTAAGTATTTGCAATGCCCTGTACCAGTTCTAATTATTTGCAGTGAGCAGTATTCATTTATTAAACTGGAAACCAAAAGCTTTCTACTAGCAAGTAAAAATGTGTGAAGCATTTGAACTTTTTTTTTTTTTTTTTTTTACATTGGCTATACTTAGGCAACTCTTCTGTAAAGAAGATATGCTAATTTCTTATAATTATTAAAAGGGAGTAAGTATTGCTTTTGTAACTATAGCCTATATTATATTGTATTAATATTTACATTATGATATCTCCCTTGCTAGGCAACTGCTTGCTACAGAGAGCTGCTGGAGCAGGGAATGAGGCTGCTGCTCTGTTCCTGGCAACCCACGGCGCAAAGGTCAACCATAAAAACAAGTGGGTAAGTTCCATAGACAAACATACAGACTCTACACTGTATATACTGGTTGTATATGACAGTTGACCTTCAAAAGTGCTTCCTTACATTCTCATGTTAACAGGTTATTATTATTACAATTATTATTCTCAGGTTAACAGGTTATCGTGCAATGGTAGTTTATTTATATGAAATCTCTGGAGGAGAGTTTAGTACAAACTGTCTTAAAAAAATGTTGCCTCAACATTTCATATTCCTGATATATGCCTGCTGTACCATGTATTATACTAGGCATGAGAACACAGTGTGGTCCATTTTTTGGCTGTGCTAGGAACTCTGCCTGTTCTCCTCCAATGATTTGGCTTCTGCTGACATGACCTCCCCCCCGGAGGATCAGGGATACAGTTGTGGAGAAGGGGAGGGAAGCCAATCACCATAGTAAAAGCCAAGGTTGATTAAATAATCCAATGCACAAACTACACCACCTGGTGCTCCCAAACCCTAACTGTTTTGGCTCCAACATAAAGCTTATTTGTATTGACTCAACATTAAGCTCCATGTAGGAATGAAATGCTGAAATCTGCTATTCTTGGAGTGACCAGCAAAGGTTGGGAGCCTACATCTGATATCGAAGGGAAATATGCCTGCAGCAGAATATTCAAAACAAAGACACCACACTCCACAGGTCTCACATTGTGCACCCTTTTTCTGTTTGGGGGATATCCATAAGGTATGCATAGACATCAAGATCTCCCATATTAGTCAAAAGTGCTCTGCATATAAAGTTCCATTATTGAAAGGCTCTTAAATCCTTGTCAAAGGGATGTTCCTCATATCAACTTTATGCCACTCGAAAAAAGGAAATGTTGCGTGGAAAACAGTTTAGGCCCCATGTAGAGGTAATGGTGTGTAGCCCAGAGGAGGATATCCTGGGAATGCCTGTAAACAGCTCCGACCTCCCTCTTACACTGTAAAGACAACCACATAAAACCTGTAAGGGGTGACCATTAAGATGCTCAGATGAAAGGCCAGACCAGATGTAGTCTAGAGAAGGAAACATTGTAGTGAACAGATATGTGAATGCTGATTCTTTACCTTCCTCTGTTGCCTAACAAACTGGGGGCACTGTCCTGGGGAAGGTTCAAGTGAAAAATAACAGCCGAGTAGGCAAGCCCTTTAGAGAGTAGGGGATCTACAGTGAGGAACAGAAGTAATTTCAACACCCTGCGTTATTGCAAGTTCTCCCACTTAGAAATCATGGGAGGGGTCTGAAATTCACATTGTAGGTGCATTCCCACTCTGAGAGACAGAATTAAAAAAAAAAATTCAGGAAATCGCATTGCATGATTTTTAAAGAATTTGTCTTGCACTGCTGCACATAAGTATTTGAACACCTGAGAAAATCAGTGTTAATATTTGGTACAGAAGCCTTTGTTTGCAATTACCACAGAGGTCAACCGTTTCCTGTAGTTCTTGACCAGGTTTGCACACACTGCAACAGGGATTTTGGCCCACTCCTCCTCACAGAAATCTCTAGATCTGTCAGGTTTCGGGGCTGTCGCTGAGCAGCACGGAGTTTCAGCTCTCTCCAAAGATGTTTTATTGGATTTAGGTCTGGAGACTGGCTAGGCCACTCCAGAACCTTGATATGCTTCTTACGGAGCCACTCCTTGGTTATCCTGGCTGTGTGCTTCGGGTCGTTGTCATGTTGGAAGACCCAGCCACGACCCATCTTCAATGTTCTGACTGAGGGAAGGAGGTTGTTGCTCAAAATCTCATAATAAATAGCCCCATTCATCCTCTCATTAATACAGTGCAGTCGTCCTGTCCCCTTCACAGAAAAGCACCCCAAAGCATGATGTTACCACCCCCATGCTTCACAGTAGGGATGGTGTTCTTGAGATGCAACTGATCCTTCTTTTTCCTCCAAACAAAACGAGTGAAGTTTAGACCAAAAAGTTCTACTTTGGTCTCATCTGACCACTTGACTTTCTCCCATGCCTCCTCTGGATCATCCAGATGGTCATTGGCAAACTTCAGACGGGCCTGGACATGTGATGACTTGAGCAGGGGAACCTTCTGTGCAATATATGATTTGAAACCATGACGGCGTAGTGTTCTACCGACAGTGACCTTTGAAACTGTGGTCTCAGCTCTCTTCATTGACCAGCTCCTCCTTTGTAGTTCTGGGCTGATTCCTCACCTTTCTTATTATCAGTGATACCCTATGAGGTGAGATCTTGCATGGAGCCCCAGTCCGAGGGAGACTGACAGTCGTCTTTAGCCTCTTCCATTTTCTAACAATTGCTCCAACAGTTGATCTATTTTCACCAAGCTGTTTGGCAATTGCCCCGTAGCCCTTTCCAGCCTTGTGGAGGTCCACAATTTTGTCTCTGGTGCCTTTTGACAGCTCATTGGTCTTACCCATGGTAGTAGTTGGCGTCTGACTGTGCGGTGGACAGGTGTCTTTGAAGAGCTCAGAGTTACTAAGTTATTAATGAGTGGAGTAGAGGTGGACTTTTTAAAGGCACAGTAACAGGTCTTTGAGAGCCAGAATTCTTTCTGTTTCTTAGGTGTTCAAATACTTATGTTCAGCAGTGCAAGACAAATAAATTCATAAAAATCATACAATGTGATTTCCTGAATTTTTTTTTTTTTTAATTCTGTCTCTCAGAGTGGGAATGCACCTCCAATGTGAATTTCAGACCCCTCCATGATTTCTAAGATGGAGAACTTGCAAAATCGCAGGGTGTTCAAATACTTCTGTTCCTCACTGTATGTACAATAAGAAAGAAACCAATGGACAATGCCAGAGGGAAACCCACACAAACAATAATAATAATAATCATCATGAAAAAAAAAGGGAAGGGGAAGGAGGAAAACATCACATAGTCATAAAAGGGGCAAAGCTCAAACTTTCATTAAGTCCAGGAACAACTTCCAAAACCCAGCATTGGAGAGATATGGATCACTGTTGCGTTTTAAACAAACATGTCTTGCCAGTGGTAGCTTAAGATGATACATAGAAATCTCATAGATATGATCCTGAAATCTTTTACGAATCATTCGAATAGTCTTGCCCACGTAGAAGGACCCACAGATGCAAAGAATGACATATATGACTCCATGTGTGCCACAATGGGCTCTCTGTCTACATCTGAGGGTCCTCCCCGTTGGTAAGACCAGACTATCTCCTTCAATCATAAAGGGGCAAATGTCACAGCTCCCACATCTATACATTACAGATGTGTAACGTAATTTTGGAGGGGACCAGTTTATGTCACTGTGGACCAATAAGTTTGCTAGAGATTTAGCCTTCCTAATAGCCTTCCCAATTTGAAATTCACTAGTGAATATAATACTCAGAAAGTGACTTTTCTGGACTTGGAAGTTGAACTAGATGGAAACGGGGGTAAAAACGAAGCTGTTTACAAAACCTACGGCCACAAACAATCTACTGGATGCTAGGAATTTTCACCCAAGCCCCTTAATTCAGGGTATCCCAGTTAGACAATATCTGAGGGCGCAAAGGAACTGCTTTGATCCTTTAGATTTTGAAAAAGAGGCACTGAATCTACACGAGAGATTTACCAAACGGGATATAAATAGAAGTGGTTGACGAAGGCATACCAAAGAGCGAAAAATTCTGATCGTGAGAAATTAATTTTTGGCCATAAGGAAAGACCCTCCAAGCATCAGGAAACTAGTAGGTTAAATATACAATATACAGAACTATCAGAGAATATAAAAAATATTTGTACCAAACACTGGCATATTTTGAAGGAGGATTCCTCGTTAAAAAGTATGTTAACAATCAACCCAACTCAGTCTATAGGAAGGCTAAATCTCTGGCAGATTTATTGGTCCACAGTGACATAAACTGGTCCCCTCCAAAATTATGTTACACATCTGGAATGTATAGATGTGGGAGCTCTGACATTTGCCTCTTTGTGATTGAGGGAAATAGTATGGTCTTGCCAATGGGAAGGACCTGCAGATGTAGACAGCTGGTTGTGGCACCCTTGGAGTCATATATGTCATTCTTTGCATCTGTGGATCCTTCTACGTGGGCAAGACTATTCGCACGGTTCGTAAAAGATTTCAGGATCATATCTATGAGATTTCTACGTATCGTTTTAAGTTTCCACTGGCAAGAAATGTTTGTTGAAAACACAACAGTGATCGTAGATCTCTCCAATGCTGGGTTTTGGAAGTTGTTCCCCACGATACTAGAGGGGGGACTTTGATAGATTGGTGCTCCAACATGAGGCAAGATAGATATGAGAGCTTGAAGCTACCAAACCGCCCGGACTTGATGAAAGTTTGAGCTTTGCCCCTTTTTTGACTGTGATCTTTCCCTCTGGCATTGTCCATTGGTTTCTTTATTTTTGTACATAGATATGTTTGAGCACACTATTCAGGTTGGTGGTCTTTGGCACATATTCCAACGATCTTTTGTATTACTGTGGTTTTTAATCTTTATTGGCTTTTCACAGACTGAGCTCTTTATATTGATCACTAATAGGCTTCCAGAAGTAATAACCTCTATGTATGTTATATATGTGACATTTAAATTTAAATATACAATTATAATAGTATCTACCATATGGCACCCGGATCACCTTTTGTTTTTCATTGTGCTCAGAGTATTTTTTGCTTAGCCATGTTTGCCTTACTGCGCATGCTCGTGATGTCACAACACTTTGCGCATGCGCGATTGGCACAAGGCGGCCATTTTAAGGCCTCAGATGAATAGGACAAGCCAAACAAATCTTTTTATATGCAGAGCACTTTTGACCAATACGGGAGATCTTGATGTCTCTGTATACCTTATGGATATCCCCCCAAACCGAAAAAGGGGGCACAATGTGAGACCTGTGGAGTGTGGTGTTTTTTGTTTATATACGGTTTTAAGTTGTCTGTGTTTAGAATAAAGGAATCGTTTATATGCTTTTCGACCACCAGCCTTATTTAATGTATGATGTAACTAAAAACCCACAAATCCTGGTTGAGTCCATAACTAGTCTTCTTAGTTTGGTTCTTAGTTGGATTTTTGATTGGGGACTCCCTTATTATTATTTATTTATTTGTTTATAGACCTTGAGACTTCTTTTTGGGGGGTTTGTAAATAGCTTGTGTGCTTTGTGATTGGATATTTCTGTAAATGTATTGATTTTCCAATGCTTTTTCCTTCTAGGGTGAAACACCGCTACACACAGCCTGCCGGCATGGGCTTCCCAATCTCACAGCAGAGCTATTACAGCAGGGAGCTAATCCAAATATTCAGACACAAGAGGCCCTCCCATCTTCTAAGGGTTCTCCAGCAACCAGCCCATTATCCAGCACCTACTTACAAACACCATTGCACATGGCAATAGCCTACAACCATCCTGATGTTGTAACGGTCATATTAGAACAAAAAGGTGAGAACCCCTCTTTAAAGTCCTGTCATACTTTCATTTTGTGCATAGCTCTAAGGCTTTTAAATTGTTGCCATGATTCTAAGAGTATAAATATAACAACTTTGTTTTGTTTCTTCAAAGCCAATGCTCTACATGCAACAAATAACCTTCAAATCATTCCCGACTTCAGTCTGAAGGATTCTAGAGAACAAACTGTACTGGCGCTAGCTTTATGGACAGGTAAGATGGTCTTATCATTGAGTCCTTTTTTTTTTTTTTTTCCCCAATTCATATTGGATGAAATTTTAGACAAGGTGTATGGTTCATTTTGCAGATGTCTGGGGTTGCATGAGCCTGTGTGGATTGACACCACCAACCTGCAATTCAACTGTTCCTTTGTACAATAACTCATATAGTTTAATCTCTAGGTATGCACACCATTGCTGCACAACTTCTGGGGTCAGGAGCATCCATTAATGACACCATGTCTGATGGACAGACTCTGCTACATATGGCAATACGAAGGCAGGATAGTAAGAGTGCCCTCTTCCTTCTGGAGCATCAAGCTGATATAAACATTAGGTATTTTTCATGTCTGTTGATCACTGTGTGTGTTAACATTTACTAGACTAAAAACCTTATTATTATTATTAGACCTCCAGTACATGCACGTACAGGGTTTGGACAAAAATGTGGAAACACTACATGGTTTTCAAGTGCGAGAATTGTGACACGTTTCTTGTTGAGAGCAGAAGTGATGTTCTTTTGCTTCCTGCTGTGTGACGAGACACCTAGGTAACAGGTCGGAAAGCTCACTTTTCTCATTCACTGCGTGTGCTGCTGGTAATACTTGAGTCATATTTATTTATTTCAGGTACTTGTATAGCGCCGTCAATTTACGCAGCGCTTTTACATATATACTGTACATTCACATCAGTCCCTAACCCTCAAGGAGTGTACAATCTAAGGTCCCTAACTTACAATCATACGTACACATACTAGGGACAATTTAGACAGGATCCAATTAACCTCCCAGCATGTCTTTGGAGTGTGGGAGGAAGCCGGAGTACCCGAAGAAAACCCACGCAGGCACAGGGAGAACATGCAAACACCAGGCAGGTGGTCCCGTGGCTGGGATTTGAACCAACGACCCTAGTACTGCCAGGCAGAAGTGCTAACCATTTAGCCACTGTGCTGCCCCATATCAGAGCTTACTGAGTTTCAAAGGTAGCAAATTGTTGGTGCCCGCTTAGCTGATGCCTCTGTGAGTGAAGTTGCCAATTTATTTGCGGTTTCGCAAGGTACTGTATTAAAGGTTATGACGACATTACAGTTTCTAGGAAATCATCGGCTGAAGCATAAGCGCAATGGACATAGTAAACTGACCGAAAGAGACAAAAGGACATTGTGCAGGATTGCGACCCAGAATAAGAAAACAATTGCTGCAAAAGTGACTCAATTGTAGTCTTCTAAATCTTGTGCCCAAAAAAACTGCGGAGGGAGCTCCATAAGCAAGTTGCTGCCTACATAACACACACATGTGCAGTGGCAGAAGGGTGGGCTTTAACACCCACTTGCTGTGCTCCCAGCACAGAGACCGAGCTGTCAAAAAAAAGCTCTTGGTCTCCACTAACAATCAATAGCCAGGGGGACGGGCTCACCATCCTGTGACCATTATGACAGCCAGTATAAAGGTACCCTTAATCAACACTAACCAGGTTTCTCCTGAGATTTAGTAGATTTTTCTAAATGGTCCTTTTAAGGGTTTCAATGAAGCTTTGTAAATGCTTTTTGAATATGATGTTCTTGAGATTATAACTAACAAGTTTATGCTTGTATGAGCTGGCCTTATTTTTTTATGTTGCATTTTAGGACCCAGGATGGAGAAACTGCTCTTCAGCTTGCCATTAAAAACCAGCTTCCCTTAGTGGTGGATGCTATATGCACAAGAGGCGCAGATATGTCTGTTACTGATGAACAGGGAAACCCTCCACTTTGGCTAGCCTTAGACAATGACTTAGAAGATATTGCATCAACACTGGTAAGTATATAGTGTGCCACTGTAAATATAGTATATGACTTTCAAACAACCAACATTGCTGTCATCTGGACTATAAGGGTTGTTGGGACTCATCTGAACTGCCCATTTTTATCAGGTTTGGCTATCGCTGAGTTACAAATCTGTTGTGGATAGAGCAGCTCTACATCTACAAAATGACTCTGGTTCATGCTGTGAGCCTAGCGATAATAAATGAGCTGTTTGGTGAATATACGTTATAATTCTGTGTGTAATCCATTTGTGAACTACAAAACATTGCTTATTAAAGAAAGCGAATTTCTTCTTTTTAATGTTTTATTAGGTAAGACATGGATGTGATGCAACTTTTTGGGGGCCTGGTCCAAGTGGATGCTTACAGACCCTTCTTCACAGAGCCATTGATGAAAACAAAGAAAAGGTGGCCTGTTTTCTTATCCGCAGGTTAGTTCATTGTGTCTTCTTCCATTATGTGTCAGTTACATTGTACACTGTTGCACAACTTCCAGTGAAATTAGCTTTGTTCAATTAGTGATCATTAAGCCCCATATGACAACCACATAGTACCATTCCTTATTATTTTCCTGCTATTAACTTGTGTTACCTGTGGAAAACCTTAAAGTGGTTGTAAAGGTAAGAAGGTTTTTTTTTACTGTAATGTATTGTCTGCATTAAGGTAAAAAAACCTTCTGTGATCAGAACTTTTAGAATCACTTTAAAGAATTGTCAAGCAGGATCAGTTTTGTGACCCAACTGTCTGACATTCATCCTGAGCACACCTAACATTCATTGCTGACGAGTTATAGAAGGCACTTTAACCTGGATTTTACAGCTAGATGATAGTGTTGGCATGTAACTCTCAACCCCCCACCAAACAGTCCTTGGTACAGATTATGTTCATAGGATAGGCTTCAATTGCAATTATCAGCTGTTAATGTATTTATTTATTTGCAGTGCTTGTGATGTAAATAGCTCCAGAAAACCAGGACCAAATGGTGAAGGGGAAGAAGAGGCCAGAGATGGACAAACGCCTTTACATTTAGCTGCATGTTGGGGTTTGGAGGAAGTAGTTCAGTGCCTTCTGGAATTTGGTGCCAATGTAAATACCCAGGTATGAAGAAATAAAATGTTAGTATTGTTCATTCTGATTGCATACTAATTTGCAAACCTTTTGTGAAGTACAAAAAGTTTACAGTGTACTTGTTTTGTAAACCCTTCTATCCCCAGCACCCCCTGAAAGTTTTAAACACACCTGTCCTGCTGTGATATGTGTACTGCACTTTGTTTGAAATTGTTTGAAATTCCATATTCTGGACTCCATTTCGGGTACAAACTCTCCATAAGATTAATTTAGAAATTGCAGGGCTTGTGTTTGGGCCTAGCAGAGAAGATTTTGACTAAAAAACTGCACAACTAAGACTTCCTCACAGCTGACCTCTCAATGGATTAGGAACAGATTAATTTAAGTGTAGCAGCACACTGATCTATTTTATTGCATGTTTTATCACCCCAATCTTTCTAATAAGGCATGTTTAAACCTCAACTCCAGGATAATTTTAAAAACTCACTTTTGAAGTGGGGCTCGTCTTCACTGCAAGGGTTAATTGCTCATTTACAATAGGGACGGATGATGAGGTGTAAATACTTACCTTACTTGCTCGCTCCAACAGGCTTCCTTTAGCACTATGACCAGTCTCCTGCAGCTGTCTCTGTTAGCTGCGATTGGCTCTGGTAGCACTCCAGCTTCCTAAATGTACAATACAGTATTAATGTCCCTGTATTGTATTTGCATACACCGAGGCTCTGCGTACTGACCAGAGCTTTGAGTGGAAGAGGAAAGTGCTAGAGCAGGCCAGAGCGAGGAATCAGGTAATTGAAATAGCCGCTTCTGTAATCCCCTCAACACAATGTACAGTTAAGGAAAAAGATGTGTGAACAGTATGTTCACCAAAGCGGTTACATAAAAAGACCATGTGGTAAACCATCACACATGAAATGTATATAAATGATACTTTATTATGTATCAAAATGTAAATGAAAACATTGCCAATTAAACACACAAAAGAATTACTACACACCGATATCCATCACCTCACCCCAGACAACGTTGTCTGAAATACCATAAAAGTAAAAAAATATGACGTCATGGTATGACCATTACTGTAGTTAAAATATCAGCATGTTCGTGACAACCTCCAGTCACTTAGTCCCACATAATAATCATTGGACATATTACACAGATCAGTGGCATACTCTCCGTCAGTGTATACAACTGGATGCTCAGGGTTTACCTTGTGATATAAGGAACCTGTGTTCTAATGCCTATACTCATCTGAACTTACTGCACACATCCACTGTTGCTGTTATCTCTATATATAGCGAACTGCAACATTCTTTCCCAATAATGCCTAAAGGTTGCTTGCCCTGTATTCCACTGATCTGTGTAATATGTCCAATGATTATTCTATGGGACTGAGTACATCATCATAATTGTGACAGGACTACCTGTATATTACATCTTCTTCAGTGGCACTCCTTGGACTCTGTAATTTATCCTTATTCAGGAATCATTGGACTAACACAGGCATTAAGTCCAGATTACTGCATCCCGTTGGGGCGCCCAGATGATGATATCTTTAGTTTGACAGATGACTGGAGGTTGTCACTGTCATGCTGATATTTTAACTGCAGTAATGGCCATACCATGACGTCATTTTTTTTTATTTTTTACTTTTGTGGTATTTCAGACACTCTGGGCTGAGGTGATGGATATTGATGTTTAGTAATTATTTTGTGTGTTTAATTGGCAATGATTGCATTTACATTTTTGATACATGATAAAGTATTATTTATATACACTTCATGTGTGATGTTTTACTGCATGGTCCTTTTATGTAACCACTTTGGTGAACATGCTGTTCACACATCTTTTTCAGTAAAACAGTATTTTGGTTACTGGACCGCACATCTATTGTGTAGCGGAGCCTATTGAATTTTTAACTTCCTCTTAAATAATTTTTCATAATCTGACAGTGTACAATTAACCCTTGCAGTGCGGGGGTTCCATCACTGCACGTGTTCATTTTTTAAAGTTAAAAGTAAAGTAAACTTAAGAATGACAAAATCCGCTGACAGGCAGGGTTTTTTTTTTATAACAGAAGAGGTCTTGAGGTTTCTTCTGTCATAAATGTCCCCCCTGCCTGTCAGCGGTAATGCAATCTGAGCCGAGTATGTGCAGCTCAGACCGCATTTAAGGCTTGTTCTGTGTGCCGCAGCGAAGTGACTCCCATGTACATTGCATGGGAGTGATATCACCCTGGCCCTGCATTTCAAGCGGAGGAAGATCTGAAACTCGGAAGAAAGACCAAGTTAAGATGGAAGCGCCAGGGACCCGTGACAGCTCAGTGCTGGAGGGCTCCGTCTGTAGGTAAGTCTTTCATAATGTACCAGTATGCAGTGCATATTAGTACATTATGACTTAAATCTGCAGGGGAGTCCATTTTTATACTTTACTACCGCCTTAATATTCCTGAAGTTGGACTTTAAGAATCATGTGCTCGCCTCTATTTATATTTATGTCCCCTCTAGTTGGCAGAGTAATGCAACATCATGCAAAGAATGTGCTTTATTTTTTATATATATATTTTCTGTCATATTTTTATGTTTTTTTATGATGCATACACCTTAGAAAAATAAACAATGTTAAGGCTGTGTGTTAAGATCATTGTCATGGGGGCTGCCTATAATGTCAGAGGAAAGTACTTGATCTGAGCCAAATAACCTATTTGAAAGCTTTGGGTCAGTCGACAGCCTGACATTTTAAATAGGAGAGGCCAGAAATTGCAGTCTACACAGTTGTCTAATGACAGGTGTAATTTGCAGGGGTGACCCCAATAATTAAATGACCAACTGCACACTTTTTTGCATGCATTAGGCATGGCTTTAAAACGTACTGAAATCAAAACCATGTACATTACATTAATCAAATGTATCAGAACATGCTTGCCTGCACATAGTGTGATCATTTATCATGGGTGACATGTATTGCATTGCATTGCAGGATGCAGAGGGGAGAACTCCAATCCACATTGCCATTAGCAATCAGCACAGTGTAATTATCCAGCTAATGATTTCACACCCTGATATCAGACTGAATGTGCGAGACAGGCAGGGTATGACTCCTTTTGCTTGTGCTATGACATTCAAAAACAATAAAGCTGCAGAGGCAATCTTGAAACGGGAGCCAGGAGCAGCTGAACAGGTAAGTGATGTAATATTTCCATTCTTTTGCCAGCATGCTCCTCTAAGCGTAGAAGCCAGCACCAATGTGAATGGGGCCTTAAGCACTGAAATTTTGTACTGTACCCAAATTAACTTTTTGTCATTTTTTCACACAAATAGAGCTGGTATGGTGGTGATCAGGACATTGGTATTGTTTAATGGCAGTGTTTTGGTGAGCACTAGGACAGTTGACAGGTGCTGGCTGCATTGTTTAATATGATTACACTGGGGCAGTGATCAGGGACACTAGGGCTGGCTTGCACAGCAATCTGTGAGTGTACATGCTGCCTGGCTGCTGTACACTCACAGGATGCAGTATCACTTCGCTCTGCTCTCACAGTGAGAGCAGAGAGAATTGATCTTTGCTTTCACTTGGTATTGTTTACTATGTGATTGCTGTGATTGGCTTGCATCTTTGTGCTGTCTTCCTGGAAGCAGTAAATTACATTTTTGGGGATGTTACATACACCAGCGGTGTATGGAACACCTTCAGGTTACCCTATTACCATACTGGTCACAAAATCAAATCCTAGACTTTAGATTGTTATTAGTAGTGGTTCATTTTTTCCCAATAGTAATGTACTTCACTTCTTCTAATATTTTTTTTTTTTTTTCCAACCCAGCAAGACTTAACATAGCTTTCTGGTGACATTTGGGTCTGCTTAAAAGTGCCATTAAAACTTAAATACAAATGATTTTTGCAAATACATCCTTTTTGCAACTGACATTGTTCAATTTATCGTTAGTGAATTAGTAGTAGTAGTAGAAATAGTAGTGTTTTTCACTTTACCTGTTCAATGAATGTGGTAATTACTACCAGATTTCTCGTTTTGCCTTTTTATGATAAAGCTTTGGCCTTTCCTTTAGGTGGATAACAAAGGAAGGAACTTCATGCATGTGGCAGTGCAGAACTCGGACATTGAGAGTGTACTGTTTCTGATCAGTGTACATGCCAATGTCAATTCAAGAGTGCAGGATGCCTCCAAGCTAACCCCCCTCCAACTAGCTGTGCAGGCTGGATCAGAAATTATTGTCCGCAACCTGGTATGTACACAAGCCTAAAAAAAAAAGTATAAACTATTTAAATAAGAAACCTCGCTTGTGAAAAACCTAAAAATTGTAGCTGCTTGCACAATATTGAGTAATCAGCATAACATATAAAATGTGCTGCGCTAATCAACATAACGGCTTTCAGATCCTTGACGTCACCATGCTTATTCAAACGGCGGTTGGAGTCCATGAAGGGTAACACTGTGTACAAAGCTGTTATTTTTTTCTTCAAGTTTTTTCTTTTTTTTTCCTCAAGTTTTTTTTTTTTTTTTTTTAAATCCATTTTATTACCGGATTTACACTATTTAGAGCGCTTGGCTACCTTTTGCATATGCACAATGGTGGAGTGGACCTTTGGGAGTAGAGCACACATGAAGACTTTCTTTTCTCTTCTGGTTTATATATTTTATGGAGTTTGGGGATAATTTGTTTCATAAGAGTATATGTATTAATAATTAATCCTTACGGTTTATTTTTTTCTCACTATTCCTATTTACACATTCTGTAAAATATCAGCGATCTCTTTGTGTTCGTCTGCTTGTGCATATACATACACTTATCGGCCACTTTATTAGGTTCACCTGTTCAATTGTTTGGTAACACAAATTACTTATCAGCCAATCACATGGCAGCAACTCAATGCGATTAGGCATCTAGATGTGGTGAAGACAGTTTGCTGAAGTTCAAACTGAGCATCAGAATGGGGAAGAAAGGGGATTTAAGTGAGTGTGAATGTGGCATGGTTGTTGGTGCCAGACTTGCTGTTCGGAGTACTTCAAAAACTGCTGATCTATTGGCATTTTCACGCAAACATCTCTAGGGTTTACAGAGAATGGTCCGGCAAAAGAAAAAATATCCAGTGAGTGGCAGTTGTGTGGACAGCAATGTCTTGTTGATGTCAGAAGAGAATGGGCAGACTGGTTGCTGCAACATTCAGATGGTAGGGTCAGAATTTTGTGTAAACAACATGAAAGCTTGGATCCATCCTGCCCTGTATCAGTGGTTCAGGCTGGTGGTATAATAGTGTGTGTGATATTTTTCTTGGCACTAGCCAGGTGTACCTAATAAAGTGGTCGGTGAGTGTATATCATACTGTGTTCAATGACACATGGAAAGGAGAATGTAGGTGTTGGTCGAGCATTTGATACTATATTGGCAATGGATTAGGTCAGAGAATGGAGTCAGAGATGAGAAGATTGTGTGGTTAAGACCATCATCAAGTTTGCTAGCTCTATATTCATATTACATGGGCCCAAATGTCTCCACTTGAGCTTCAGAACCTTTTAAATGTTCCATGGTGATTGATTCCTTAGGGGATATCCTTCCTTCTTAGGTGGAAATCTGCTAACTCTGTCCATGGAGCCTTCCATTCACTATCTTTAGCTAGCTGCTAAGCTAAGTAGATGACACGTTATCAGTAGTAGCAGTGTGTATGTGAACAAAAGTTAAAAATACCAGGAAATTGCTTATACTGTTGCCTCCTGGTCGCACTCTTTTCATTATTACCTGCTGCTTTATTATAGTAAAACTTCAGTTTTGCTGAGGAAAATACTCATATCCAGTCAAACTGTATATGCATGGGAGACTTTTTCGCAAACTTTATTTTAGGTTTTTGTATACTTCTGTCCTGTAGATATTTTTATAGGCCTTGCAAGTACTTTCTTAAATTGAATATTGAGTTGGGAGGCTTTGCCTTCATTATGCCCATCAGACCTAGGGTTTTTTTTTTTTTTTTTTTAAATAAAAGGATCAGAGTTTTAAAAAATGCAAGCCGCGTCATTAAAATATCTCATCAAAGATCAAATTAAAATTGCAGGGGCTGCCTAAAATATAAATTCAATCTCTGTTGAAAGCAGGCAGACCGTTATCTTAGCAGGATTCTGGGACAGTCTGTCATGGCAGCATGGAAGAGAAATTTAGTCAGGTTCAAAAAAAATTATAAAACAAAAAATAGTACAAAAAATGGCCACTACCCCAGTCTATAACTGGCCTTCACAGCAAGGAGCACATGGAAGGGCGACGCATGTCAAACAACAAAAAAGAAAAAGAAAAATTCCCAGCTCTGACTTTCCAGCCAGCTTGCAAATAAACCGAATTAACCTGTCTAACAGTATGCGTTAAACACAGGGGTTTAGTTAGTACACATTTGCAAATACATGCGTAAGCTACAGAGCCTCGTCATGGCACCCCAGTATTCTGTAGTTCCTAACTCTCCAATTTTAAGAGCCCCCATAGTAGAGGCATATGTATTTAATGGATAGAGCAAGGGCAGATGGACCTGAGGGAGCCCACCCCTCTTTAAAGGTACAGAAGGGCACCCATGCTGGTAGCACAATGGCAGCTAAGGTGTCCAGTGCACCCCCTCGACCAACAAATCAACAGTACAAAAAATGACCACTACCCCAGTCTGTAACTGGCCTTCATAGCAAGGAGCACATGGAAGGGCGACGCATGTCAAATAACAGAAAAATTCCCAGCTCTAACTTGCCAGCCAGCTTGCAAACAAACCAAATTAACCTGTCTAACTGTATGCACAAAAAACAGGGGTTTAGTTAGCACACATTTGCAAATACATGCGTAAGCTACAAAGCTACAAAAAAAATTATAAATAAACAAGGAATCAGTGCATACAAATTCTCCAATTCCTAATGACAGAGGGCACTGAACAATGTTCATAATAAGGTCCAATGACATATAAAATAAACACAAATGAGTCCATATAGCACAAGGGAAAGCTCTTGTAGCTGTAGCAGGCTCTGGATAAAGATGTAAAAAAGTGCCTCTAAGTGCAGTATGTAGAACATTTATTGAGGAACATAGTAAGAAACACACTCACATGATAGAGGAGAAAGGAAGGCTTTGGCATATGTTATAAAGATGGAGGATGACTGCGAACATCCAGAGTCTCTCCCCGAGCGCTGACTACGGCTATCACATCGAGGATGCAGACATGTCCTCCATCTTTATAACATATGCCAAAGCCTTTCTTTTCTCCATCATGTGAATGTTTCTTACTGTTTTCCTCAATAAATGTTCTACATACTGCACTTTTTTTCTCTTTCTTATATCAAAAAAATTATAGACTGCAGGCTGAAATGAAAGTAATTTTAATATTTCATTAAAAAAAAAACCAGCCTTTGTAGCAGCTATGTTGTACAAGTTCCTCAAAGGGGCATGAGGATTTAAATTTGAAGTGAATTGGACACTTTTAGGAAATCTAACATGTCTAAACTCCTGCCTTGTATCACCTCTTGAAAACTTTTTTGAAATGGTGGGGTGTCTTAGCACTGATAGCCTCGATATAATAAACCAGTAAGGGCCACCTTTCTTTTTTTTCTGTCTGTTTCCAAAATGTGACCACTAATATCTTAGTGCTGCACTAAGATTTATTTTACAATTTAGCTAACTAACTTTGATATTGTACTCTGGTAGCTCCTAGCAGGTGCCAAGGTGAATGAATTGACAAAGCATCGTCAGACCGCACTTCACCTCGCAGCACAGCAGGATCTGCCCACCATCTGTTCTGTACTCTTGGAGAATGGCGTTGATTTTGGAGCCACTGATGAAAATGGCAATAATGGTAAACGGAAATTACATGATTCCTGTTTAAATTTGCAAGTGGTTACAGGCATAACATTTTACCACTTTAAGTCCCAGAGTAATCAAAACCTTTGTAAACAGACCAAATTTTTAAGTTGCCAAGTTTTGGTATACGCTTATTTACTTAAAAATATCTTTAACCGCATTGCATATCAAAATGATTTTAACATGATTTTTAATCACACTTTTTCTTTCAGAGATGTCCTTGTTTTGCACTCTATAGATATACAGTGAAGGAAATAAGTATTTGATCCCCTACTCATTTTGAATGTTTTTCCACTCACAAAGAAATGATCAGTCTAAAAATCGAATGGTAGGTGTATTGTAACACTGAGAGACATAATAGCAACACAAAATTCAAAAGAAATGCATGTCTAACAAATTATGCACTGATTTGCATGTTCATGAGGGAAATAAGTATCTGATCCCCTTCACAAAACATGACTTAGTACTTAGTGGCGAATCCCTTGTTGGAAATCACAGAGGTCAGACATTTCCTGTAGTTGGCCGCCAGGTTTGCACACATCTCAGGAGGGATTTTGGCCCACTCCTCTTGGCATATCCTCTCCAAGTCATTAAGGTTTGGTGGCTGACATTTGGCAACTCGAACTTTCAGCTCCCTCCACAGATTTTCAATCGGATTAAGGTCTGGGGACTGGCTAAGCCACCCCAGGATCTTAATGTGCTTCTTCTTGAGCCACTCCTTTGATGCCTTGGCCGTTTGTTTTGGGTCATTGTCATGCTGGAACACCCATCCACAGCCCATTTTCAATGCCCTGGCTAAGGGAAGAAGGTTCTCACCCAAGATTTGACAGTACATTGCCCTGTCCATTGACACTCTGATGCGGTGCAGTTGTCCTGTCCCCTTAGCAGAAAAACACCCCTAAAGCAGAATGTTTCCACCACCATGTTTGATAGTTGGGATGGTGTTCTTGGGGTCATAGGCAGCATTCCTCCTCCTCCAAACACTGCGAGTTAAGTTGATGTCAAAGAGCTCAATTTTGGTCTCATCTGACCACAACACTTTCAACCAGTCCTCCTCTGCATCATTCAGATGTTCAGTGGCAAACTTCAGACAGGCCTGGACATGTGCTTTCTTGAGCAGCAGGGGCACTGCAGGATTTCAATCCTTGTCGGCGTAGTGTGTTACCAATTGTTTTCTTGGTGACTTTGGTCCCAGCTGCCTGGAGATCATTGACTAGATCCTCACGTGTAGTTCTGGGATGATTCCTCACTGTTCTCATGATCATTGACACTCCAGGAGGTGAGATCATGCATGGTGCACCAGACCTAGGGAGACTGACAGTTGTTTTGTGTTTCTTCCATTTGCGAATGATTGCACCAACTGTTGTCACCTTCTCACCAAGCTGCTTGGTGATAGTTTTGTAGCCCAGTCCAGCCTTGTGTAGGTCTACAATCTTGTCCCTGACATCCTTGGACAGCTCTTTGGTCTTTGCCATGGTTGAGAGTTTGGAATCTGATTGTTTGATTGCTCCTGTGGACAGGTGTCTTTTATACAGGTAACAAAATGAGATTAGCAGCACTCCCTTTAAGAGACTGCTTCTAATCTCAGCTTGCTACCTGTATGAAAGACACCTGGTAGCCAGAAATCCTGCTGAATGATAGGGGATCAAATACTTATTTCCCTCATGAACATGCAAATCATTGCATAATTTGTTAGACATGCATTTCTTTTGAATTTGTTGCTGCTATTCTGTCTCTCAGTGTTACAATACACTTACCATTTGATTTTTAGGCTGATTATTTCTTTGTGAGTGGGCAAACATTCAAAATCAGCAGGGGATCAAATACTTATTTCCTTCACTGTATATTGTTTTATAGGTAGGGTTTTTATTTTGTAGCAGTTTTGTATACATATGTGTCTATTTCTTAGTGGTGTTTGTTTTTTTTTTTTAATTGAAAAATCTCGGCATATCGAAAACTGTAGCTGCTGATTTTTAAAATACAGACACTTACCCGTCCCTCTGTCCAGCGGTGTCCTTGCCACGGCTGGTTTCACCGGCATCTTCAGTGTGGGCACCCGGCTGTGACCGCTTGCAGCTTCACAGCCGGGTGCCCACTGCGCATGCGTGAGTAGCGCTGTGCTTTGTGAATGGTCTCGTAGTTTTCCTGGACCTGTCACGTGTCCCTATGGGGAGGGAAGTATATGTCCAAACGCACACGTTCCTGCGTTAAAAAATGGCTGTGTGTATGAGTGGGTGCTGCAGTGACCGTCGGCTGGAACCGAACAAAATCAGCAAGGAAAAAATGTCACCAGCACACCGAGGATCACCAATATGGGTCCAAAGGTTTTATTAAACCATCACATAGTTACAGCAAGGCAACGTTTCGGAGTCTCGCAGGACCCCTTCATCAGGCATGTGACCCATGCCTGATGAAGGGGTCCTGCGAGACTCCGAAACGTTGCCTTGCTGTAACTATGTGATGGTTTATTAAAACCTTTGGACCCATATTGGTGATCCTCGGTGTGCTGGTGACATTTTTTCCTATGGGGAGGGAGGGGGGATGTCAACTTCTGCTTCTGATCGCCTTAGGCAATTGCAGCAGAAGTGGGAACGGGTACCTGACAAATTCAGGTAGCGGGGGGACAAAGCCTTAAAACGGAACTTCCCCTTTTGGGTGGAGCTCCACTTTATGTTTGATTGACTGTCACGCAGTACATGACAGTGGATTGTCTTGCTTTCTGGTGCACTGAAATAAAGTACTGCATGCATGCATTACTTTCTTTTCAGCGCATACTGACCGCACACCACTGTGCTGCAAACTGGGCACACAGGAGAAAGGCCAATTTGCCTTGTCATGTGGTGGTACTTCACTGGAAATGCCACCCACCGTATCAGGTGAGAATGAACTCTCCATGCTGTAAAGCTGCCTTTTCTGGGTTGTTCAGGGGTACCTTGGCAAAAATTGCCTAAAAATTTCCCAAAATGAACAAGCTAGTGAGTGGATCAAGCTTGCCTTTTTTTTAAACACAGCCACAGATTTTTATTTTACAGTATTAAACCCATGGGCACCATGAGGGTCAGCCACTGGCATCCTAAAAACCAATGACAATATTGGTTGATAAGGAGAACATCGGGTGCCTGTACAGCATCTTTGTTTTCCCCTCTCTGTCAGCACTGAGAGTCACAGCAGAGAGGGAGAGATTGAGTGAGAAGAGAAATGCTGTAAATCTAGTCAGTACCAGGTGAAAGAATAAATAACTTCCAATGTTGGGTGGCCCACATGTGTGGATGATGCTACAATAGGTAAAATATTAGTTTTGAGTTTTTGGGGTTTTTTTTTTACAGAATGGAGTGCCTTGAGATTTGTACATAATATTATAGGGTGCCTTGGCTGGAAAAAGGTTGAGAAACACTGCTGTAAAGCAACCTTGTCAGTCTTTTTAAAGCTGATCATTTAAAAATTTCTATGTAACTAGTTTAAAGCTGGCCATACACTGATCAAAATTCCGCAGGAACCAGGCAAATTCATTCAGCCAGCGGGCTAAAAAAACAAAGCAAAAAACAGTTTATGACCAAGTTTAGTACCTGAATTTGTCCTGATATCAGTCTCCTGTAATCCCCTGCCCATCAGCACTCAGGCTTTAATGAAGGCATACATTACACCATATAGATTATTTCTAGTGTGCTGTATCATATTTTTTGTTTTTCCTTGCAGCGCTTCATCTTGCAGTAATGCATGGTCGGTTGAACAACATCCGTTGTCTTTTAACGGAGTGTAATATTGATGCAGAAGCACTTAATGTAAGGTAATCTATCAATATTTTTTTTTTTTGTACTATAACTAGACCTTAAGGTAGTTTTCTTTTATGTCCATTAATCGGCACAGGAAGTCATATACTGCCCACAACTGGAGAATTGTACACTATTAAAATATATATTAAAAAAATGTAGACAAGCACCAGATAACCCCCCCCCCCCCTCCCCCGAACATGTTTGCTAGTGTCCTAGCTCTGCTGAGGGGAAAAAAAATGTTTTACTAGCTTTTACTTACAATCAAGATTCCCACTGTTTTTCGAGCTGGATTTGACTGGGTAGCTAACCTTATCAGCCTTTCCTTAGCTTGACTTTGGAGTGCTGTACCTGCACCCCACTAAACTGAACATTGCAGGGCTAATCTGGAAGTGATGTTTGGTACTTGGTTCCGCTTGCTGTACTTTCCAGGCATCCAGGTACTGGTAAAAAAAATAGCTGCTGTCCCTTTCCAGGTCCAGAGCTGTGACAACGCCTCAGTGCCCCTAAAGACTCACTTTGTGAGTAGCATGTTTGGCCTTGGCTCTAGAAGCTTCCGCATTGTTTCCACCATTTTGCACCTTTTAATTTTGCCACTACCACTGGTTCACCGCCGAAACGTTGAGAAACTAAGCCATTAGCTGCTGAAACACTTTCATTGACCAAAGAACCTGCCTCTAGGCCGCAGTCTTTTACCATTACTCATAAACTGAGAGATACTGTTTCAGCTTTTATTGATGTGCTATGCACAACTCTGAAGATTGGGTCTATCCCAGTTCACCCGCTATTCTTTTTTTTTTAAGATATGCTTTAATGAGTTTTATCAATAGTGTACACAAGAAAACAAAATCAGGTGCGCGAAAAAGAAAAACTACAGAATACAGCAGGCAAAAAACTTTGCAGCGTCTTATCTCAGAAGCAAAAAAAATAAAATAAAAGGACAGTTGGATAGTTCATAGCAAAATGGTACAAAATGTCTGGGAACTCCAGTGCAGGATACATTTCAGCCAGTATAGGCGGATAAAAAAACCATAATTTCAGTTCTTGGATCTAGAGAGGACAAAGTGAGGGGTTAGAAAATCACTTGCCCCAAATTTTATCAAATGGTTTTGTTTTCTTTTCCTAAGCTTGAAAGTAAGTCTATACAAGGGAAGAGAAGCATTTATGAGTTTAAACCAGGAAGCCAAACCAAAGCCAAGCCAGGAAGTAAAACAGACCCTTTCCAGGATAATATAATTATTTTCTTAACAAAGATATAAAGAATGTGCATCAACTGTTTAGCATATTTGGATATCGTTAAGTCCCTGAAAATTCTCAAGAGAGAATTTTTTTAGATTTATAATATTGGGCAGACCCTGTGTGAAGGAGATAAATGAGCCAATGTTCCCCCAGAACCCATAGATTATAAGGCAGGAACAAAAACAATCAAGAAAATCAGCAGTGAGACTGCATCTCTGGAAACGCTCAGCTGTGGGGCGCAAGCCCATTTTATGCAATCGAACAGGAGTGAGGTGAGTATGATGAAATACCTTTTAAGCTGAAAATAATTCTGTCTCTGGAGGAAATAAGTGAAGTCTTATAGGCGTTGAATTCAGTTCCATCCAAATCCGTAAACGTGTTTGGGAGGCCCATTTTTGAGCAGTGATGAACCTAGGGTTAGAATCTGCAGAATAATATTCAGAAATTAATTTTGTTGGGTCAGGCCAATCCAAGGGAAGTCATTTGTAAGGGGTTAGATGGGGCAAGACATCTTTTGATGATGCACGTTGGGCAGAGCCTCCTGCTTGCATATCATCGCGATTCACCACGTTCTAGAAAGTGTTTGTGGATGCTGGGTCGCTATATTTTGTTTATATGCGCATATATTTTTACAACAAGTGAGTGGGTTCCATTGAGACGGTTTTTTGGAGGGGATTTGACTGCCCAGAGAGATCACATAAGCACTTTGATACCACTCTTTAGTTTAAAAGGGTAATGGAGACTTTGTAAGAGACATCTTTTATATCACCTTTGGTGTCCGATTGGTGTTGGTGGCACTTTGGATACAAGAATTGGAGAAGAATTGTGGTTTCATAACCCTATGTCCTTTGGATGGGTCTTCCTTTTGGACCTTTTATTATTATTATTATTATTATTATTATTTGATTTATAAGTTTTTGACAATTTGAGCGCAACACAGTTTTACTTTTTGTATACAGTAGGTGGGGTATTTTTCTAGTTTGTGTTGCTATCAGTAGTTATTTTCCTTTTTTATTTTTTTAATATCTGCGCAGTTTCTTTGATATATACAGTGGGGCAAAAAATTATTCAGTCAGCCACCAATTGTGCAAGTTCCCCAACTTAAAAAGATGAGAGAGGCCTGTAATTGGCATCATAGGTAGACCTCAACTATGAGAGACAAAATGAGAAAAAAAATCCAGACAATCACATTGGCTGATTTGGAAAGAATTTATTTGCAAATTATGGTGGAAAATAGGTATTTGGTCAATATCAAAACTTCATCTCAATACTTTGTTTACATATCCTTTGTTGGCAATGACAGAGGTCAAACGTTTCCTGTAAGTCTTCACAAGGTTGGCACACACTGTTGCTGGTATGTTGGCCCATTCCTCCATGCAGATCTCTCTAGAGCAGTGATGTTTTGGGGCTGTCGCTGGGCAACTCAGACTTTCAACTCCCTCCAAAGGTTTTTTTATGGGGTTGAGATCTGGAGACTGGCTAGGCCACTCCAGGACCTTGAAATGCTTCTAACGAAACCACTCCTTCATTGCCCGGGCGGTATGTTTTTGATCATTGTCATGTTGGAAGACCCAGCCACGTTTCATCTTCAATGCCCTTGCTGATGGAAGGAGGTTTGCACTCAAAATCTCACGATACATGGCCCCATTCATTCTGTCCTGTACATGGATCAGTCGTCCTGGTCCCTTTGCGGAGAAACAGCCCCAAAGCATGATGTTGCCACCACCATGCTTCACAGTAGGTATGGTGTTCTTTGGATGCAACTCAGCATTCTCTCTCCTCCAAACACGACGAGTTGTGTTTCTACCAAACAGTTCTATTTTTGTTTCATCTGACCATATGACATTCTCCCAATCCTCTTCTGGATCATCCAAATGCTCTCTAGCAAACTTCAGACGGGCCCGGACATGTACTGGCTTAAGCAGGGGGACACGTCTGGCACTGCAGGATTCTGAGTTCCTGGTGGCGTAATGTGTTTCTGATGGTAGCCTTTGTTACGTTGGTCCCAGCTCTCTGCAGGTCATTCACTAGGTCCCCCCCGTGTGGTCCTCTCTTCTTATGTGATGAATCTTGAGCCCCAGATCGAGAGAGATTATCAGTGGTCTTGTATGTCTTCCATTTTCTAATTATTGCTCCCACAGTTGATTTGTTCACACCAAGCTGCTTGCCTATTGCAGATTTAGTCTTCCCAGCCTGGTGCAGGTCTACAATTTTGTTTCTGGTGTCCTTCGACAGCTCTTTGGTCTTCACCATAGTGGAGTTTGGAGTGTGACTGTTTGAGGTTGTGGACAGGTGTCTTTTATACTGATAACAAGTTCAAACAGGGGCCATTGATACAGGTAATGAGTGCAGGACAGAGGAGCCTCTTAAAGAAGAAGGTACAGGTCTGTGAGAGCCAGAAATCTTGCTTGTTTGTAGGTGACCAAATACTTATTTTCCACCATAATTTGCAAATAAATTCTTTCCAAATCAGCCAATGTGATTGTCTGGATTTTTTTTCTCATTTTGTCTCTCATAGTTGAGGTCTACCTATGATGCCAATTACAGGCCTCTCTCATCTTTTTAAGTGGGAGAACTTGCACAATTGGTGGCTGACTGAATACTTTTTTGCCCCACTGTATGTATTTGGATGTTTAAGCATGGCACAATTAATTTTTACAGTACATATTTAGACGAAATATTCATGCTTTGGGTACCACAGCTATTTTGAGCATAATTAGTGAGGTGAAAATGAGAATTTTTATTTTATTCATTCATAGATGTGTCTGGACCAACATTTGCCTCTCAGCACTTTAAGGATCTGGTCTCTGCTCTTACAAACTTGTTCCAGAGACCGTTGGTTTAGTTTTTCTTGAAAACCTTTGTACAGCTCTTTCTGTTTCCTTCACTGTGACTTCATGATATCTGAACTTGGTTCTCTGTGCCTTAGAAACACCCTTTTTGGATCTATCAGGTTTATCCCACTTTTCACTTCATCCTATCCATAAGGTGATATTTCTTGTTGCCATCAGCTCTTCAATTCGAGCATATGAGCAGGTGGCCTTAGCCTGAAAGAACTCTTTCTGGTCATGCACAAGGGAAGGGTGGGGGTTGAGATCCATAAAACGACCTTCCTACAAAAGGTACCTTTGCCTATCATTTCAGCCAAAACATTGTTCTTCTGTTCCTGTCTGTTAATAGCTTTCCCTACACTTTGGACTATGAAAATCTTATCTTGCAGCCAATACTTCATTCAGAAAGATTAAATTTCTTTGTCGTTTTTGGTTGTCTGGGTAAGGGTAAACCAGCTATTCCTTCCAACATTTATTGGTGGCTCAAACACAACCATTTTTTCAAACTTATATGCTCAAGGATTGGGTGCTACCCTTTTCTAGCAATATGCACTTTATTAGATCTCTAAGTGCCTCTTGGGCTTTATGGCATCAGGCTACCAACTTTCAGGTTTTCCAGACTGTCACCTGGTCTTCTGTCCACACTTTCTACAATTACTAGGTTGATATTTGGGCCTCATATGATGCCAGCTTTGAGTGTAAGGTTCTTTGGGGCACTCTTTAAACTGTAGGCAGACAATAATTCTGATGTTTTGTTGTGGACCTGTTTGATGTTGCCCACCGTCTAAGTTGGGCTGCTTTTGGAAGTCCTAATTGTATACAATGTCCTGTGTGCCTCAATGATCAAGAAAGAAAATATAATATTTGTACTCACAGTCAAATTATTTTCTTGAGCTCCACTGAGGGACACAAGTTCCACCCCTCTATGTTTTTAATCATACTTTTGATACTGCTTGGATATAAAAAGTGAAATGCTGGAATAGAAGGGAGGGGTGATCTACTATTTTGTTTACCAGTGTCTGGTCCTCCTGTAGTTCCTCAATGGAGAAAAGGATTTTATGATGAATGCAAAAATCATATTTTTAAACTGTTCCTTTTCCTGCACCTCATCATGGGCTCATTAGCAAAGTCTTTTGGTATGGTTTAGACTTGAATATAGACTGTAAAAGTCTTCCACAACCCTCCACTTCACTTAGTCACTTAAGTGAGCTATGTGCAGAAGCTCCATGGTTTACCCTGATACAGTATGAAGACACTTTGCCCATGTTTGTTGGTAACATTTTTTTGTTGACAGATGAAAAAGAATACTGATGATACTGAACAAACACCGAGGGACAATAATGGAGAAAGATTGACATAAAGATCAGTTTAAAATTTTGACTATAGCGAATATTTAAATATGGCATTTGAATTCAGGAACATGGCATTCATCATCTAACATACCATAACATATACAGTATCTCACAGAAGTGCTACAATGTAAAGTAGTGAGTGTACAGCTTGTATAACAGTGTAAATTTGTTGTCCCTTCAAAATAACTCAACACACAGCCATTAATGTCTAAACCGCTGGCAACAAAGTGAGTACACCCCTAAGTGACAATGTCCAAATTGGGCCCAATTAGCCATTTTCCCTCCCCGGTGTGTCATGTGACTCATTAGTGTTACAAGGTCTCAGGTGTGAATGGGGAGCAGGTGTTAAGACCATACAGCAGTTTAACAGGACAGGTTCCACTCAGAACAGGTCTCGCCATGGCCAACCAAAGAAGTTGAGTGCACATGCTCAGCGTCATATCCAGAGGTTGTCTTTGGGAAAAAGACGTGGGCTGTGTGTTGAGTTATTTTGAGGGGACAGCAAATTTACACTGTTATACAAGCTGTACACTCACTACTTTACATTGTAGCAAAGTGTCATTTCTTCAGTGTTGTCACATGAAATGATATAAAATATTTACAAAAATGTGAGCGGTCTACTCACTTCTGTGAGATACTGTACATATATTTGTATTTTCTGAGATTTCAAGCCTGACAGAGTTCAGTCTAGTGTTCCCATGTGCAAACAGTTCCTGTGTAGATCTTGAAGGGTATTGTACAGAACCATGTCACATGCAGGCCAGAAGCACTGTGAAATGTGTGCTGAATCCGGATACATTGCATTATGCAAAACTCCAACATTAACTGTAAAATGAGTTGACTTTCTAACCGTGTACAATTTTACGGTTTCCTGGATAGCCTTAGAAATTCAATGATTGATTGTTGGCGTTGCCATTTAAATGTTATCTTAACATTGTGTAGTAAAGCAATTTATCAACCTTGTTTGTCAGGGGCCAATCTCCAATGCATATTTTGGGGCAGTATGGGAAGGAAAATGCAGCAGCCATATTTGAACTCTTCCTAGAATGTATGCCAGAATACCCACTGGACAAGCCAGACTCAGAGGGAAACACAGGTATTTGATAAGCTCACAACTTCATGCCACATTGTGTCTGCAATATGTAGTTTAGGTTTTCAATCAAGTTTTACTGTTTTTTTCCCCATTCCTAAGATATCATAATGTTGCATCATGCAAATTCATTGTACAAATATGTGCTAAGAAAACGTATGTTTCTGGAGAAAAAAAAAAAAAAAGACTGGAATTGCATTTACTGACTTGATAAATCGTGGTGAACATTGCAGCAGGGCCTGGGTCGGCTATATGAAGGATGACAAGCCCATCTTATTGCCCTTTTTTTTTTTTTTAGAGACATATGCCCATCTCAGGCTCTCTCTAGCAGCAGCTTTCTCCATAGTGATCAATACAATGTAATGGCCTTTTGTAAGGTAGCTGTATTCTGATATTCCAAATACATTGTAGTATGCATGACTCTATATCCTTCAGCAACTAGTCTTTTACTCCCACAAGTGATCACAATTCTAAACACAAGAATCAGGATGTACCCTCTTTCTTCTAAATCCTTATCCCTGTAATATGGCATATCCTGCAGATTCTAATAACCACAGAAAGTGAACACAAGGAAAAGGATTGGCATGCATTCTTCAAAGGAATAGTCTTGTCCAGCTTTTAAAGTGGCACTATATCCCCCCCCCCCAAAATATGTGCTGCAGCACTTAATTGTAAGTGCATCTGCACTTAAATATTTCCCTTCATCCCCCTGCCAGCTGTCGCAAATACTTTTTGATCCTGCCAGGAAGTGCCCCGTATGCAGTTTCCTGCAATGGTGATGGGGAGGGGGGGGAGCAGGACAACGCCTCATGTAGGCTGGGCCTGCTTGTGCTAGACTGGGATGAGAAGGGGGTGTGGCTATCATCAGTAGCTGTTTCAAAAGCCTTTAACTTGTCAATCAGTAGTTGGCCAGTAGTGCTGCTGAAACCTTCCCATTTCTAGTAGTGCCTGAGAGGGGAAAATACAGTATGTGAGACACAAATTAACAAATGAAGGAGGATTTGTCTGATTTATTTTTTTTTTAAATTGAAACTATTGAATTACTTAGTAAATTGATTTAAGACCTGTTTAGATTGGCACACGGGAGCCTTTATATGAACATTAACGTATAACTATAGGCCAAACCTTTATTTTAATTTTTTTTAAGTTTTGGATAGAGTGCAGAGGGATTACATGACCTGTTTTTATTGCTGTCTGTGTCCCTGTTAGAGAGAAAAGTAATAGAGGGGAAATCTCCCAATTGAGACACTAGTTCTGTCAACCTGGGAAGCCCCAAGGGATGCCCTTAATTTGCAGGGATTTCTTCTCACTTCCTGTTTGGCTATAGGACAGGATGTGTAAAGGGAGATCTCGGTAATGGAACACAGATGGCGAAAAAAATCTAACAGGGGTTGCAGCCCTCTTTTACTCTATCCAAAATGGGGGGGGAAAGTTTTGCCTATAATTCTCCTTTTAAGTAAACATATCTTTACAGTGCATTTCATGATTAATGACATGTCATCAATGATATTTTTTAAAGTGTTACTATACCCGCAACAGTAAAATCAGTCTGTATATACAGTAAAGCATGCTTGTTATACTCACTATGGAACCTAAGGGGTTAATCCTTCACATTGTGTAAAAAAGGCTGTTTGATCCTGTCTTCTCTGATCCTCCCCTTCTTCTACTGTCCCCAATCCATCTGCTGATAGAACAGTGACTTGGGGGCAAGCCGCACATGCTCAGTTTGCTGTGCATTGCTAGAGAGTTTTTGTTTTTTTAGGGAGAGTGAATGTGATTAGCACAGGGCCAAACAGCACTGTCCAGACAGAGGGTCAGGGGTTATGCAGCCTCGTAGGACAGTCAGAGGAGAATGAAAACTCCTAAAAGCTTTAACTAGTGCTCAGCTGGACTCTGATAGAAGTCACAAGACTGCTCTAACTGGGTCCTGGGTTTAGTAACACTTTTTTTTTATCATAGTTAAAAGTTGAGCTTCGTTCTTCGATATGGTTGGTTGCCCAAATTGTGAAACAATTCTGTTTGAGATGTATTGTCTTCACAGTGCTACTCTTGGCCTATATGAAGGGAAATGCAAATCTCTGTCGAGCCATTGTGAAAGCTGGTGCTAGGCTTGGAGTGAACAACAACCAAGGCATCAACATATTCAACTATCAAGTTGCCACTAAACAGCTTCTCTTTAGACTTTTAGGTAAGTTGTTTTAAAGTGCTGTTTCAGTGTGACCACTCCTTGGAATGCACACTCATGAGGAGTTAGTTGCACCTCTTAAGCTGGCCATATGCTGGACAAAATTTCACAGTGCTTGATAAGGTTTAAGTATCAATGTCCATGTAGGCAAGGCCTACCCTTTTAGATATGTTGTAAATGGCTCAGATCCTGTCTTGTATCCATCATATGCTTCACATTTGTTTATCTATGCCCTCTTTCTCTTCCAGATATGTTATCTCAGGAGCCCCCATGGTGTGATGGCTCTAATTGCTATGAGTGTGCAGCCAAGTTTGGAGTCACCACAAGAAAGCATCATTGGTAAGATTTCTTCCATACAAACCACAGCATAGCAAGAATGCTCTAAATAGTTGTACTGGTAGGTTAAAGTGGTTGTAAATGCTGAAGGGTTTTTTTTAACTTCATGCATTCTATGCATGAAGGTAAAAAACCTGCTCCCCAGTCCTCCCTAATACTCACCTGAGTGTCCCGTTGATCAGCATTGTGCACGGGAGCCTCGGCTGTCCCGGGTCTGTCTCGTCATTGACTGACACAGCAGCAGGAGTCATTGGCTCCCACTGCTATCAGTCATGGTCAGTAAGGAGAGAGTGGGGGAAGGGCCAAGCCACGGCTTTATGTGTATTATTGACGCATAGAATGGGGCACAGGAATAAGCACTCATCAGTGCCTCCATAGCAAAGGCTTGCTTTTGGGGACACTGATCAAGGGGGTGGAGCCAGGAGCACCAGCAGGGGACCTGAGAAGAGGGGGATCGGGGCAAAACCCCTGCACAGAGCAGGTAAGTATAACATGTTTTTATTATAAAAAAAAAAAAAAAAGCAAACCTTTTAACCACTTGCCCTCCAGAGGATTTACCCCCCTTCCTGACCAGGCCATCTTTTGCGATACAGCGCAGTCTTACTTTAACTTACAATTGCACTGTCATGCAACGGTGCACCCAAATGAAATTTATGTCCTTTTTTTCCCCACAAATAGAGCTTTCTTTTGGTAGTATTTGATCCCTTCTGCGGGTTTTTATTTTTTGCGCTGTAAAAAAAGAAAAGACCGCAAATTTTGAGAAAAAAACAATATTTTTGACTTTTTGCTATTAAACATGTCCAGCAAAAAAATTTCGTCATAAATTTAGGCCAAAATGTATTCTGCTACGTCTTTTCTAAACAAAAATTAATTGGTTTACATGAACGTTATAGCGTCTACAGATGGCCGTGTGTATATATACTGGAATTTTGTTGTTGTTTTTTTTTTTTTTTCTTAAATACTAGTAATGGCTACGACCAGCGACTTATAGCAGGACTGGGGCAGGCATTCTGACACTGGAGGGGAACTGACCAACTGTCACTGACATCCCCACTGACACTAATACAGTGATCAATGCTAATCAAAAGCACTGACACTACTAATGACACTGGGTAGGAAGGGGTTAACATCTGGGGCGTTCAAAGGGTTAACTGTGCTGTTTTACTGTGTGTGTGCTTTACACTGGAAGCACATTGCTTTGTATGGCTCTGCTGACAGGAGAGAGATCTGTATTGTTTACATACAGGTCTCTCCCCCATCCATGATACAAGGTGATTGCCGAGTGCTGGCCGGGACCCGTGAATGACAGCCTATATATATGTATGTGTGATTTTGCGCACCCCTGCTGCTCTGTAACAGTATTTCTGCTATAGGGTGGAGGGAAAGCAGTTAATATCACTTTAATCCTAATGAAAATGTGTTATAGAGAATCTATTTCAAAGCAAATACTTGAGTTTATAAGCTGAGGATGAAAGTTTCAGCCCTATGACTCCTAGGCTGCCTTCATAGCGATGTCATTTATAGTGCAGCAATGTCCCTGAGTTAGAATACACCTCTGCAGTTAGAGAATGGCAGCTATCATCTGTAGAATCTCGCATACGTTTATTGCTTTGTGGCAGATTGTTCTTAAAGGTAATACTTGTGTATGGCTGAAATGAATGATAATTATATTGTGTTTTCTCTCCCTGCAGTCGACATTGTGGACGGCTTCTATGTCACAAGTGCTCAACTAAAGAAATTCCTATTATCAAGTTTGACTTAAATAAACCAGTTCGGGTTTGCAACATATGCTTCGATGTGTTGACTCTAGGCGGAGTTTCTTAGTACATTTGGTTGCAAACAAATTGCTCTGTGAAGGAAGGCAGCTTTTCTCCAAAGACTGTTGAGAGTTGAGCTGGAGATGTTTGCACTTCATCAAGGACCATATCATGATATATTCCAGTATAAACAATTTGATTGTACCTGTATAGGCTTTATTAGATACTAACTGGACGCCGTCTTTTTAAGTCCGTTCTAAATGTGTACTAGTTTGGGAAAAAGGCAGCCTTGATAAAGTCTTGACAGAAGACCGAGACATGGGATCGACACTCGAGTCACTCTTCAGCCCTCTAGAGTTTTTAGACTCCTCCCCCTGCGTTGACATTGTCTTCAAATCATGTCCATCACCTGTAAAGTTCTGTACTGTACCCCTGACTTCAGGTGGAGAATCTGTAAGGAGCATTTTGTATTACAGGGTTCAGTTTCAAAGAAAGCCAATTAAATTGTGGCCTTACAATATAAGCTTTATAACCAACACTATATTGAAAATCTTTGTAGCACTTTCCTCATTCAGTATACCCATCTCATCCAGAGCACGCCATTCATATATTTAATTGGGTTTCAGTTTACTTGCTTCCAGCAAATAGGTCAGTATAATTCTGCATTATTATTAATTTTACTTAGCATCTGTTATCCCCAACCACGCACACATATTTTTCCCATCTGATCAGAATACAAAGTGCTTTGTGTTATAGAACCTAACACTTGTGAAATTGTTTAAACACTAACACCTAAGAAAGAATATGTTGAACTTAATCATTTGATATACAAAAAAAAATAAATATCCCAGCTGCGTGGATGCATTGTATGTTTTACATTTTGTTTATTGAATACACTATTTGTTAGGCTTTCAAAGGTTAGATATCCTGCTCCAAACATATCTATTTTGGATGGAGGCTGTTTAGATCAGCCTAAACATGACATATTACTGTCTTTTAACTAAAGGATTTGGTTATTCGACACCTGTGTTGAAGGCTTGTGTTCCTGAAAAGTTGGGGTTTCAGTGCTGTCTGTGTCCGGTAGGGCAGTTCTGGGGAAATGCATTTCTAAAATGGTGTAATGAGCCGCATAACTGGACTGGGTATGGTCACCTTTGAAGTACATCCACACAGTAAGTTCCTCTGTCGATGGGCAAATGTAGCTTGCTTCCAGGTTCATTCTTCTTGCAGACATAAGTGGTACACTTGGCCAGCAGTTAACCTCCTCCTAAGTTGCATCAATCTGTTTTTGCATTCTGATTGACTTGTATGGGGAGAGAAGCAGTTCTAATGTGAATAAAAGCTTGTAAACACTTGCCCTAATCCTACTTACTGGTTGCAGCTGACTATTTTCAAACTGCTTTTATTTTAGTAGCGACTGCACAAGTTAGCCAAATACATTTTGGACTGCATACTTGTTTGTAAGTATATACAGTATCTGTGTATATACAGGGGTTGGACAAAAAATGGATGCACTACATGATTTACAGGTGTGAAAGTGATAACGTGTTTGGCGTTGAAAGCAGAAATGTTGTAACGTTCTTTTTGCTTCTGCTGTGTGATGAGACACCAAGATAACAGATGAGAAGCCTCACTTTCATCATTCACTGTACGCTGCTAGTAACACGGAGCCATGTCAAAGAGGGTAAATTGTGCCCTCTTAGCTGGTGCCTCTGTGACTGAAGTTTTTTTAGGGGGTTGTGAGGTACAGTATGAAAGGTTATAACGGCATATACAGTTTCCAGGAAAACGTCATCTGGTAAGCAGAAGTGCAGTCGACATGGTCAACTGACCGAAAGAGGCAAAAGGACATTGCGCAGGGTTGTGACCTGGAATAAGAAAACTGCTGCAAAAGGGACTGCAGAGCACAATTTCAGTCTTCACGGGGCTGAGATTGAGCTCTGCAGTCACTTTTGGCGCAGTTGTGTTCTTATTCTGGGTTAGCTAGGTGTGTTATCACACAGCGGAAGCGAAAATGTTGTATCACTCCTACTTTCAGCACGAAAAATGCCACTTTTACACCTGCAAATCATGTGGTGTTGCCATTGTCTAACCCGTGTGTATGTATATAATAGATAGATAGATCTCTTTCTCTCTCTCTATCTATCTATCTATCTATCTATCTATATCTATATAGTTAACATGCACGCTGAAGTTCTGGGTTCATTCCATGAGTGTGCGTTTCCTATGGGTTAACTGGCTTCTGACCAAATTAGGAATAGTGTGAGTTTGTATATGCTTGTCATACAGCAGTAGTTGCCAATACATATAGAATATCGATCTGTTTGTCCTGTTAAAGTAGAACTATAGCAATACTTTTTTCATAGAGTAAGGGATGGTTATAACAGATTTCCCCCACCCCACATCTGTGTCCCATTGAGGAGATTTACCTTCACTACCTGTCCCATGGCCAAAACAGGAATTGGGAGGATAGAAAAAAGAAGCGCTAGAAAAAGTCCATGTAAGAGTGGACTTTATAGGCACCACATGAGATTACACATTTTTATAAAATATACATACTTTATTTTAACAAATATTAAAAATGGACATGATAGACATATGTCCTGTTAAAAGATCATGGGGAATTCCCCTGAAAATACAACCTCCTCTTGATATAAATAATACAAAAATGTGTTCACATCTTATCCAGCTTGAAAGGTCAATAGCTTATATATAAGCGCATATAGCTTCTTCTGTCCTGTATATTGGAGGAGGTAGAACACTAATAATGTAAAAATACAACATACATTAATATACAATAACAACAAATAAGAATATACACATTTCAATTAACAATTAACAAAAAAGAAAAACAAAGGCTCACATGGATGGGGCAGATTGCAGAGGAACCCAACAACAAAGTCTTAGGGGCGAACATAGGTGCTTCCAGCCATGTAAACACTTTACTCCTGCGCTGGGGATAGACTCAGCAGAGACAATGTGAATGTTCTGGAATATGCACTGCTTGCTGCCCTCAACAGACCGGGGTGGTCCAAAGTCACTGAATGCAAATGAAAAAAACAAAAAGAGGGTGCACCGGCCTAGTACATTATCGTTTAAAAATATTTATTGAAAGAATAAGAAAGTAAGTATCATACTCACACTGGAAATATAAAACACAGGCATATCACAATGAACAAAGTGTTCAATCCAAATAGCATCTGAGTCCAAATGATGGAACCCTGGATGACCAACTGGGTGATGCGGTTCGAGGACTCAGCCTCTTCCTCAGAGCCAACAGTCCAAGAGTCTTCATGTCTCTTATATATTCTAACTAATTATGGCAGTGGGCTGTCCCAAATCTACCCAGGGGCGGGGACTGCCATCACATGAATCATTAGCATATATTTCCTTAATTGAATTATAATAGCATAAGTAAAAAACACTATGCTTCTAAAAAAAAAAAAAAAAAAATTACATATAATGAATTATCATATGCCATGTTTTTTTTAATAAGCATAGTGTTTTTTACCTGTTATTTATTATAACTCAATTATGGAAATATATGCTAATGATCATGTGATGGCAGTCCCCGCCCCTGGGTAGATTTGGGATGGCCCACTGCCATCATTAGTTAGCATATATGAGAAGTGCAGACTCTTGGAGTGTTGGCTCTGAGGAAGAGGCTGAACCGCATCAGCCAGTTGGTCATCCAGGGTTCCATCGTATGGACTCAGATGCTATTTGGATTGAACACTTTGTTCATTGTAATATGCCTGTGTTTTATATGTCCATTGTAAGTATGATACTTACTTTTTTTTTCTAAACGATAATGCACTAGGCCGGTGCGCTTTTTTTGTTTTTTTCATTTGCTTCCAGCCATGTGACATATCTGCGGTGATGGTGAAAAAAGTCAACGGTGCTCTAAAGTAAATTTAAAAAAAATTCTGCAATGTGTTTGGATCAAATAAAACCCAAATTTGGGGAAGGAAGACAAATTGTTTTCATATATTACATCAATACTTACATAGGATTCACACAAAGGTTCCCTCACTTTAAATAGTCTCGAAATACTCCTGGCACAAAAGTCACTTCATCCACACCATAAAAGCAATAGTCTTGTAATAATTCAGAAAAGAGGACACCTACAATGAATACCCCTATCAATCCTCGCCTCACTAATTAAACGTGCCATATGAATATAAAATGGCTTACTTGGATTTACCTCGATTTTCCAACCATACTTTGTGTTCCCAAACAGTGAGCCTGTCCATTAAGTATATAATCTCTAAATCTTTTGGAGTACATGGAAGTGGAAAGGAATCCCTGCAAATGAAGGTAATTCCTTGAAGACACCCAGATCCACAGACAATTTCCCCGCTATTACTCTTTTGGGGACAACCCAAAGTTTGGGATTTTCTTTTACTTTCAATTTCAGTGATAATGACATAAAGTGGGGGCACAGACAGGAGTTCTAATCTCTGTCCACTCTATCCAAAGCTAAAAAATATTTTTGCCTTTTAGTTATACTTTAAATGATCATTTTTCAATATTCTGATTGCATTTTAGCAATTATTGTTTTAACTACCATGATCATATGGGATGCAAATCTCATAATTAATATTTCTTTAGTTTCAGCACTGTTTACTTTATAAAAATTTACATTGAAATATAGATTTACATTTTCTGAGATCACTCTAGATCAGTAGTCTTCAAACTGTGGCCTGCGGGCAGGATGTGGTTTTTGCTTTCCTTTTTATTCAGGCCTTAAGTCACTGTTTCTCCGACTGATAGTTTGCAATACTCCTCCCACTGTCAACAAGACATTTAAAATAAGAATAAATGTAATATTTAACTAGTTGCCAACCGCAGATAGCCGATTGACGGCTGCACTGCGGCCGTCCAGTTCTGGGTGGATGTCATATGATGTCCTCCTAGAACGCGCTCTCCTGCGCACCCCCGGCGATCTGCGTGATCACTTTGTCCAACGGACACAGCTGATCACGTGATGTGGTAAAAGGCCAATCACAGCGGCCTTTTACCACGTGATCAGCCGTGTCCAATGACACGCTGATCACTGGGAAATACAATTGCCGGTTCTCGGCTGCACTTTCCTCAAGTTGTCATTGAGTGAGGAAAGTACTGCTGAGAACCGGCAGTTGTCAGAGCAGGGATCGGCAGCAATTATCACGGCACTGATGATCAGTGCCCTGATGATCGGTGCCCAGCAGTGCCACCCACCAGTTCCGCCCACCTGTGCTGCCAGTCAGTGCCCAGCAGTGTCACCAGTCAGTTCCCAGCAGTTGCGCCAGTCAGTGCCGACTATCAGTACCCATCATCAGTGCCGCCTATCCGTGCCACCTCATTAGTGCTGCCTATGAGTGCTGCCTCATCAACGCACATCAGTGAAGGAGAAAAATTACCTGTTTGCAAAATTTTATAATAGAAACAAACTTTTTTTTTTTTTTTCTTCAAAATTTTTGCTCTTTTTTGTTTATAGCACAAAAAGTAAAACACCCAGCGGTGATTAAATACCACCAAAAGAAATCTCTATTTGTGAGAAAAAAATTATAAAAATTTCCAATGGGTATAATGTTGCATGACCGCACAATTATCATTCAAATTGCAACAGCGCTGAAAGCTGAAAATTGGCCTGGTAAGGAAGGGGGTATAAATGCCCAGTAGGCAAGTGGTTAAACTATTGCAAGATCTGTGCCCAGGACATGCACAATACAGCGCCTTGAAAAAGTATTCATACTCCTTGAAATTTTCCACATTTTGTCATGTTACAATCAAAAACGTAAATGTATTTTATTGGGATTTTATGTGATAGACCAGCACAAAGTGGCACATAATTGTCAAGTGGAAGGAAAATAAATGGTTTTCAAAATTTTTTACAAATAAATATGTGAAAAGTGTGGCGTGCATTTGTAGTCAGCCCCCAGGAGTCAATACTTTGTAGAACCACCTTTTGCTGCAATTACAGCTGCAAGTCTTTTGGGGATGTCTCTACCAGCTTTGCACATCTAGAGAGTGACATTTTTGCCCATTCTTCTTTGCAAAATTGCTCAAGCTCTGTCAGATTGGATGGAGAGCATCTGGGAACAGCAATTTTCAAGTCTTGCCACAAATTCTCAATCGGATTTAGGTCTGGACTTTGACTGGGCTATTCTAACATGCTTTGATCTAAATCATTCCATTGTAGCTCTGGCTGTATGTTTAGGGACGTTGTCCTGCTGGAAGGTGAACCTCCGCCACAGTCTCAAGTCTTTTGTAGACTCTTAACAGGTTTTCTTCTAAGATTGCCCTGTATTTGGCTCCATTCATCTTCCCACAACTCTTGAGCAGCTTCCCGTTCCCTGCTGAAGATGCAAAAAGAGCACAGAAGCAGGGCCAGCACCTTGGTGACCACCTGAGATACAGATGGTAGGCCAAAGGCAAGGGCCACAAACTGGTAATATAGGGGAAAGACTGTGACTTCTCAGGGTCTAAGCTTATTAGTAAGGGACAGTAACAACTTGGAATCAGAGGTTCCAGGGCCAATGGCTTTAAGGCCCCAGGTAAGTCTGATATAGAATTTGCAGAAGAGTCAGCAACTAACTGGGTTACTTGGGCCATAAAGGCATGGGTGAATAGAAAAAAAAAAAGGAGGAGGATCCAGCCACATCTATTGCAGCTAACAAGGACTCAAATGACATGTTAGACTCCTCGCGCATAGAGCAACCTGTTTCCAGGATGCAGATATTGGGACCATCAGTAAGGCAGCTGCAAACAGCCCTGGTTAGTAGAGTATGCACTGGGGGTAATCGGTACAGCAGGACTGTCCCCTCCATGTCTAGAATCAGACATTTTGTGACCATGGAACAATTATGCAACAAAGCTCTGGGTTAGAGGCAGGGATTGGATCACTCGAGGTGCCCAAATTCATTGCAGGAGAGCTGCAGGAACAAATAGAAGTTCCACATGGCTCTTTGCAAGCAGCAGCAGTGGAAATATGCTTTCTTGACACTGCATGGCATGAAAGTGCATGCAATACTCCACCCAGTGGATGACATCAGTGGTAACCCCTTCCATGGTAGAAACTGAAGGGAATGGCAAAATTAAAGGTTCCCATGAAACAAATCCTCAGAAGCAAGGCAAGCCCTGAAGCAATGCCAACAGCTCTTGACCTGCAAAGTGGTTTGCAGACAAGTTCAGCAGAATGTAGTCTGGAAAGCACCCTATATGGAACCAAATACCCAAAGGGTCCCTTCCATGCAATCCCTGCAACATAAGTCCATTAGGGTCCAAACACAGTAATTAGAAAGGCAGGCTGAAGACAACTGTGCCGCATAGCTACAATTGAAGAGACCAGCTATAGCAGCGCAATAGAAAAGGAAAAAAAGAAAAAGGTGCTTGCAAAAATAAGTTAGTTTTAACACAGAAATGGTGTCCTTCCCCCTAGGGCAGGGGTGGGCAACTGTGGCCCTCCAGCTGTTGTGGAACTACAAGTGCCATGAGGCATTGCAAAACTGACAGTTACAAGCATGACTTCCAAAGGTAGAGGCATGATGGGACTTGTAGTTCACCAACAGCTGGAGGGCCACAGTTGCCCACCCCTGCCTTAGGGCTCTAGCAAAAGACTGAGTGCTTATCCTGGGCTGGCATACAGTTTGTGTGCCAATGTCTAATTATCCAGTAGACAGCAGCATTGTCACCTGGAAAAGGAAAGCTGTTCACTTGCACATGGACATGGCATGCCAGCACACTACTTCTCTGCTAACAGAGGAACGTGGATATTGCAAACTCATTTTCTTTTTTTGCTCCCTTTGGGAAACTGATAAGCTTAAACATGAAGGTGTGTGCCATGTGTATTGTATTTATTTCAGCTAAGTGTGCTGCAAACTATGACAGAGGTGTGAACCACAAATAATGTAAAGAAGATACTTATCCCTTCTTCTAACCAGTTACTATTCTTGGCCTCACTGGAAAATGAAAAGTTTAAGTAGCTTATAGCAACTGATCAAGACTATTTGTTCACCCTTGGGCAGATTGGTTAAAGTCCACTGCATTTCTAGACAGCTGTTAGTGATGAAAATTGTGAATAAAACAAATACACCAAGGAATTAAATTAATCCATATAATAATGTATTAAAAAAAGAAAAATAAAGTCCCAAAGTGAACAAAAGTTAAAGCAAAGTCCTTTCACAATCCAAAGTATATGAAGATTGTCCCCACACTTCAACTTCCTGTTGTACAAAGTGCTCATCCACCACCAAGTGACACCATTAGGGAGCTTTTTACCAGATGATGTGGACCACCATTACATTATAAATGGTTTTAAGCGCTTAGATAAATCATATAGCCGATTCTCCAGACATATGGACTGTCCACCATCAGGATCTCGCCTTTCACCGATCGTGGCTTGGCCCGCTTCTTCCTGGACATGTCTCCGACTGCTGCTAACTCCCCCCGCTTCTAATCAAGTCTGTGCAGGCAGTGGGGCCAGCTCCCATGTCTGATCCCTATGGCCAGATCTCCTGCAAAAAACTCTTCCCTCTTCCTTTGACTTATTGTGGTAAAGCTCCTATTGTGTGGGATTGGGACTCCCCTTTTTTTTTCCAAGTGATTGGTATCACAATTGCTTAGAGGCTGCTTTTTCTCTTAAACACTCCAGTGCAGATTTTTTTACTTTTACAGATAAAAATTGTGTGCAGCAGTTTGTGATCCTCCTGCAGAAAGCTCCGAGATTACCTCCATGAGTGTCTTCTCCTGGTCCAGTATGATACAGATGCAGTCTCTGAAGCTCCCAGATAGCAGTGGTTTTGCTTCCATTCTAACTAAGGGTTTATAACTTTTTATGTTTCACTAACCTGAGTTCTGTAAGCTGAAAATGCTGATGGGTTACTACTCTTTTTATATCAACCATGTGCTTTGCACTGCTTTAATACAGCAGCATAGGTTTAAAAGGATGTTTCAACATATGCATGCATATACTCTATTTACAAGTGTTGCACTTGTTTCCAAAGCAGCCAAAAAAAAAAAAAAAAAAACCCTTTGCAGCAACAGCGGTACCTGGATGTTATTTTTTGCAGTCATTTGTAACTGAAGATTGAATGACTAAATAACTGAAATGTTTGCATCTAATCACAGGCTTCCCATGCTGTCACCAACAAATCTTTACAGCCTTTTTATGCACAAAACCTTCACCAACTGTTGGCTGAACCTACTTTAAAAAGAAGTCTGTCCAAAACTTTTTTGGCCATACTTCTCCTTTGGGTCACGGGACTACACATACTTTAATTCTCCTTTGACCCAGGGTTAGCTGATTGTGGGCTATTGCTCGATATTGGCTGCTGAGGCAGAGCCAAGTCAAGCTCTGAAAGTATCCTGATAATATTGTCGGGATCCACTTAGCTGCATGACTGACAGCTGGCTCTGCTTTCAGTGCATGGCTGAGGGCTGGAGGCAACTGCTTCCACCCTTTCCTTAGCTCAGTACTCCAGTGAGCACTGGAGAGCAGAGAGTGGTGACTGACAGTCACTGCTCTCCATGTGAAACAGATAAACTGCATGGTAGCCAATCAGTTTCTACCTTCAGCTTGTTCAATTAAGTTTGGGAAAAAAAAAAAACCTAGAAGCTGACTGATTTATATGCAGAGCTGAACCAGACTTTGCATCCTCCAGTTTTAGTATATCAACCCCTCTGAGTACATGCACTTTTTATTGTTGCCAGTTTGAAATGTTCATTCTTTCTGTTATACATTATTGCATTCTTTAAAATAGGCAGTCTTATTTCTTCAAAATCCGTTTTTACTTATAGTGATATAGTGATACAGGATAATTTATTTGTTATAAATAATTACAACATGAGCTTCTTATTCTTTAAGTAGACACCAATCAAATAGTGGATTGCAGTCTTTATATTCCTGAAGGGAAGGATTCTCCAGATCTCCTTTATCATTGTGTTGTTTAGATCCTAGATGTTCAGATGGAGGCCCAGTCGTCCTAACACAAACACAGCGATAGCCATCATAGCCAGCTAAATACAATTTCCTGGGAACACCAGCCCAGTCCCTCTGTATTCCACCACTAAGTGAACGACAAAATGAAAAAAAAAAATGTCAATACTTCAACTACAAACAGTTAAAACTATATGCATTCGTAACACTCACTGTGCATTTTGTGGTGTTACTTAAAGGAAACCTCAATTTTTGTGTTAAAAAAAAATAAAAAATATAGCATATAAAATTGCTACACAAACCATTTTGTCATTTAATATTGAAAGATCCATTTTGCTCCTTGGAATTTTCTTGTCACCGTCAAAAATTAACATTAACTTGACACCACTAACTGTAAGAATATCAAAGGTTCAGAAAATTTTTGAACAGTGGCCAGGTTAAGATATCAAATTTCAGCATCTACTGCATTAGGTGTTTTTAATTTTTGGTGAAATGCTTCCTAAAGCCGGCCCACTTCTAAAAGGATGCAGACCCTACAGCTTCCTTATTTGAACACTAATAATTGAGCAGAATTATGAAAGAAGACTGCCATTTAGGAATTCATTTGGCAAGGACATGGTGAAACAAATATATATTTTTTTGAATTTAAGTTTGATGAAATGTAAGTTAATCACCTAGAGCGTTGTCATCAAAAGTAGTGTTTAAGCCCCTTGCACATGGGGTGTCTAGCTTCTGTGTGTGCAGTCCCAGCATTTTACTCAGCCTGGGAGGCACAGGATCAGAGTCCAGGCTGTCAAAAGCAATGGCAGGTTGAAATAGGCTCTGGCTTGACAAGGCTGTACTGTGTCGTAGTTGTGTTTAAGGCCCTATGTGTTCAGGGACAAATGCCCAGAATGCAGGTGTGCCCATGCCTTCCCCACCCCTCTTTGCCTGTCTCTCTGTCTGTCCCTTCATCCCTCCTTGAGGATTCCTCGCGTCCTGCCAGCCTACATCAAAGAGCTGTGCTGGACGGGAGGAAACGCCCCCTGTGGTGCGGTTAGCACCTTTCCGGCCAAGGTGTCTCTGCGCACCCCTGGTGGGCACGGCACGGGTGCGATGCTTTTTCGCGCTCTGCGCCCACCAGAGACAAAGCCTGCGCTCCTTCAGTGCGGCCCGAGTGAGGGGGGGCGTGCCTCGTTGCCCCGGGCAACCCGACGCTGAGCTGGCTGTTGCTGGGGCAACCCGGAAGCATCCTGCGCGGCTTTTAAAAGGCCAGCGTGACACCAGGCTCTTTCTCCCTCCTGTGCTGTCCCCCTGGAAGCTGTTCCGTTGGGAGGTCCAAGTGTGGACTGGGCCTCCGCAGCCATCCCCGCTGAGCACTCTGCATGAGACTCCCCCAAAGGTTAGAACCATCCCAGGCACAGACCCCACACAGCCAAGACCCTGCTGAGCCCCTGCAAGCCTGCTGCGCCCCTATCGGCGGATCGCTGGATCCCTGGGAAGCCCCCCGTCTGCTGATTGCTGGGCCCCTGGGGAGCCACCCTGTCTGCTGGGCCCCTGGGAAGCCGCACTGTCTGCTGATCGTTGGGCCCCTGGGAAGCCGTCCTGTGTGCTGATCGCTGGGGCCCTGGGATGCCATCCTCTCTGCTGATTGCTGGGTCCCTGGGAAGCTGCCCTGTCTGCTGATCGATGGGGCCCTGGGAAGCCGCCCTGTCTGTTGACCGCTTTGTCCCTGGAAGCTGCTGAGCGTCCGCAAGTCACCTACCTCCCTGAAAGCCGCCTGCTGCTGAGCATCTGCAAGACGCCTATCGTGAGTGTCCCTAGAAGCCATGAACTGCCCCTATTGTGTGCCGAGACCACCCTTGTCATGAACTGTCCCTATTGTGTGCACAGACCACCCGTGTCATGAACTGTCCCTATTGTGTGCGCAGACCCCCCCTTGTCATGAGCTGCCCCTATTGCACGCCCAGACTACACTTACTTGAACTGTCCCATGGCGTGCCTGGAGTATAGCTACCTGCTGAGTCCCCGTGAGCCCGATCTCCCTAGAAAGCTGGGTGGGAGCTGTGCCGAGGTCAGCCCCCCTAGTCAAGGTCCCGTTGCGTCCCCGTGAGCCTGATGTTCTCCCTAGTACGCTGTGTGGGAGCTGTGTTGAGACCAGACTCCACAGCCAAAGTCCCGTTGAGTCCCTGTGAGCCGATGTTGTCCCTAGAAAGCTGTGTGGGGGTTGTGCTGAGGTCAGACCCCATCAAAGTCCCGTTGAGTCCCGTGAGCCCGCTTACCATGGGTGTCCCTACAAGCCGCATATCGCAGAGTGCCATGAACTGTCCTGATTGAGTGTCTTTCATAGTTCAATAAAGCTTTGTGTGTTCCCCATCTTCTTTGTGTGTTCTGTCCTGCCTACACTTCCGTTACAGCAGGTATTCTACGTACTGGTCATTTATCCCTGAATGTATAGGGCTCTAAATGCAGGTGCCACTTGGTACAGCATTCAGCCCTGTCCAGCTGCAGTATATTTCACCTTGCCATAAACATTTACAGGCTACAGGCAGGGGGCCTGGATACTGCACCTGTGCCTCCAAGACCCAGAAAAACCTTGGGATTGCATGCACAGAAGCTAGATGCCTAAGCAAACTGTGAAGCAACAGACATCATAGCTAGCATGTACGGCAGAGAAATGAGTGTCAGAGATACCAACCCAACCAATGGTGTCTGAGAGCCTATTGCTTTTTAAAATCATCTAATTTGGGTCTTTTCAATGCCGTAATGCCACAACAGATTAGCAGATCTTGTTTTGCAAGTAGCTTGAAATGATCAGCCATGATATGACTTTAAATTGCTTTTGTAAAATTCAATAGGAAATGGGATTTTTCATCATTCTGAAAAGACTTCTCGACTGACCAGGAGTTCAGGATAGGTTGCATCCTGTGCAGAGATGTTAAATATTGTAGCAGATTCCTACCTGTTTCTGCTCTGATAAAGCAATTGTTAGTTCTCCTAAGTCTTTTGTACACTGATATTGTAGCAGATTCCTACCTACCTGCTCTGAAGAAGCAATTGTTTGCTACAATATCAGTGCACAGAATCCGTGTTCAAAAGGCTTAGAACACGGATTCTGTGCACTGATATTGTAGCAAATTCCTACCTCCTCTGAAGAAGCGTTTGTTCCTAAGTGTTTAGAACACTGATTCTGAAGAAGAGTGACTAATTCATTTTAATCAGCTGGAGAAATTTCTGTTTTCTGCTGAGAAAAGCTGTGGTGTCTACATCCCTTTATAAGTATCCTACTAAAAATGGCATGTAATTGGAGAGGATGCATAAAACATCATTGTGCAGAATTCTTTACTCAGGAAATGACATTTCTGGGAAAGTTCTGTACACCATCTTGTACAGAACACCTCCATGTTGCATCAAACTTTACAGAAAAGTACACAGCTTCAGCCTAAAAAGGAAAGGTAATTTTAACATTAAATTACAATATAGCTTGTGTAGCAAATGTATTTGCCATATTTTTTTCAAAGAAAGTGGAGTTACCCCTAAATGTCCTAATAATCCTTGATTCAACTGCATCACTGGTGTACTTTATACTGCATAGTGTAATGAATTACAGTATACTGTAGTATAAGATGAAAAAGTAAAACAGGTTTCTTTATGAATACTGAATCAACTTTTTTTTTCTTTTTTTTACTGACACTTTTAGCCACATGGTAGTTTCCCCTTTTTGGAACAGCACTTTATGGGAAATGTTTTCTTTATTGCTAATAAAACAAAAAAAGTTTTTTTATTTTTTTTGAAAGAGTAAACGGGGATAATGCTATTGTCTTTAAGAAGTGCTTTTGTTTTTTGTTTTTCAAGTTCAGTATGTCTAAGGCAAAAATAAGTAAAGCCAGCAAAACTTTTAAAAATATAAGTGCACTTAGTTCCCCCCCACTGTGCTAACTTAACCCCCTTAGATACATACCTAACTTGCAATCATGCCTGAAACCTCCACTCTTTCCTTACATTCAACCTCCAATCCTTGGTGCACAGTGCAGTAGCATTCTGTAGAGTCCTATAGGACTACCTTTTTAATACAACATTATGGGCTTTGAATTAGACAAGCTTAAAGATGAGTATACACATACAAGTATACTCACTCAACCAAATGACAGATACACTCATCACCACAAGGATGAGTAATGCAGGGCTCTCCTGCTGAACTTTGGTATTCTGACATGGGGGACTCCTTTCCCCCCCATCAAAATTTCAGTCATAAGCGCTTGCAGCCATTGGCAGACAGTGGTACACATACTGAAAGTCAGCTGGTTCCTGCTAAACCGGACGACTTTCGGTACATGTTTACCAGCCTTAAGATCCTGGGTTAATGGGCTTTTGCATTGCACACTAGAACTGCATCTCTCCCCATAGAAGTCAATGGGAACACACACACAGAAAAAAAAAAAAAGTTTGAAGAAGGTTATTACAAATCAGAGAAATGCAAGTAGAATTCCCATCAACACAAGCCCAAAAGCTGTCAACACAGGCCCCATCTCCTGCCTTGCCTCCCTCTAATGGCTGCTGGGAGCGGACACGTCTTACAGAAGCAAAGTGAACACGTTTTACTCTACAAATTAGGTACATATGACAAATGATCTCTCCTGAAAGTACAGGTATCCTTCATCGTAAACCCATACCAAAAGCAATGTTTGGAAACAACAAACCTAGATGGCATGCTAATCCAATGGACTTTAATGCCTTCTGAGTTGCTGACCTGAAACCAGCATGCAGATCAGGATTTGTGGCTTAAATGAAGTGCATGCTTGCTTGAGGCCAATACAGAGGCAAACAGCATGTCCATTGAAACCTCATAAAACCAACACAAGTTAGAAAAAGAAATTGTTCTCCTCATCTGTCTTTATAGTTATGTGACATATTGGGGTTTATTTACTAAAGCTGGAGAGTCTAAAATCAGACTCCCTTCTGCATTGAAACCAATCAGCTTCTAACCTCAGCTTGTTCAATGAAGCTTTGGCAATGAAACCTGGAAGCTGATTGGTTTCTATGCAGAAGGGAGTCTGATTTTGCACTCTTCAGCTTTAGTAAATAAACCCCGTTATGTCTAGACCAGTCCTGTGGGATGCGGATCGCATACGTTTTTTTTTAAAGGTTTCCAATTAGGCCAACTTGTACTGATTCTTACCTGTGCTTAGAACACCATACTTTAGTGACACCAGCATTAAATTCTGAATTGCAGGGTGGAAACTGTTTATTCTCCTCTTGCCTCTGCTCTTTCAGCTGTAATCCAATATCAATGACTGCTAGTGCATCCTCTAATGCCTTTGTGGGATTTCCATGCTCGTCATAAAACCTCCCTATGAGTTTCCCTAAAAGAAAAATATTTTTATAAGGATCTTTTGTTCAACATGTATAGCAGAGTTCAGAATTTGGCAACCTTTGGCTTTCCAGCTATTGTAGAAATAGAATTCCCACTTGTAACCCCCCCCCCCCCCCCCCGTGAATAGTTCTGCAGTAGAGGACCCTATGGTCAGGTGCAAACCTACCGACTGGAGTATAATTCTTCTGATAGAAGTTATACCAGTTGTGGAGGTGCAGCATCTGTGTGGGTGACAGTTCCGACACATCATCCACAAGGCCTTGCTCTGTGAAGTCCCCACTTACATAGGCACGAGATGCATCTCTTGCTGTGAAAAAGAAGGAATATTTCTAAAAAAATATGTAAAAGGAACTGGATCATACAAGTGACACTTATTTACTGTAATTCACTTTTGGCAATTTGTGACTTATTTTCACTTTTAAATGGATTTCCATGTTTGCAGTCATATTTGAGAAAATCCTGGAAGATAGGGGTTATCTCTGTAGTAGTGTCGACTACTACAGTGATTCTCTGCTTCCACATTGGGGAGATATGCATGCTTACTTGAAGCTGGACCAATGTAACTATGCAATTAAAGTGATATTAAAGGCAATTAAAAAAAATAAACATGTTATACATACCTGCTCTGTGCAGTGGTTTTGCACAGAGCAGTCCTGATCCTCCTCTTCTCAGATCCCCTGCCGGCGCTCTTGGCCTCTCCCTCTTGCTGAGTGCCCCCAGAGCAAGCAGCTTACTATAGGGGCACCTAAGCTTACTCCTGAGCTGCTGCTTTGCATGTCCATTCACACACAGAGCCACGGCTCGGCCCCACCCCCTCTCTTTTCTCATTGGCTCAGCTAATGAGGAGGGAGAGTCCCCGGAGAGCAGAGGCACTCGTGCACATCGCTGGATTGTGATGGGGCTCAGGTAATTATTAGGGAGGCTGAGGGGCTCTGCTGCACACAGGTTTTTTTCTATGCATAAAGGTAAAAAACTTTGAGCCTTTACAACCACTTTAAGATCATACATGATGTTCACCTATAAGGGCTTGTTCACACCATGTCTATTAGGACGCGTTTTTCTGCACACCACTGTATGAGTATGCTGTTAAAGGGGCACACAGAAAATAGCTGTTCACACCACATATATATATGGGCAGAGTGCAAAGCCCTACATTTAGATAAAATAGCTAAACCAGCTTTAGTTGCAATATTCACCTTCAAGCCAGAGATTTCATCTTAAGTACTTGTTTCTATTGCTGAGCGACTTCAGTCTGATGTCGAACATGTTTGAACACATTTTGTCTGAGCCCAGGTCATCTTGGACCTGTTCCTTGTACTATTGTACATCTTCCTGGAGTTCAGCTTTTAGTAGATTTGGTAGCAGCTTAGAGTCATATGAGAGTGCAAGAAAGCAAAGTATAGATCCCTTTAAGCTGAGCTGCGCATGTACATCTCTGTTTACAGTCCGAGGATCACTGTGAACAGGCAGGTAGATATGTTTCATTGCAAAAAAGGCATATGTCTCTTCTGCGATAAAATGCCTGCCTGCTCACTGTATCATAGCGCAACTTTAGTAATGCTTTAAAGTGTTACTAAACACACAGTAAAATCAGGTTCCACAGTGAGTATAACAAGCATGCTTTACTGCATATACAGACTACGTTTTCTTGTGCATTGTGTAAAAAGGCTATTTGATCCTGTCTTCTCTGATCCTCCCCTTCTTCTACTGTTCCCCATCAATCTGCTGATAGAACACAGGCTTGGGGGCAAGCTGCACATTCTGTTTGATGTGTATTGCTAAAGAGGTTTTTTTATTTATTTATTTCAGGTACTTATATAGCGCCATCACTTTACCTGTCTTGTACATTCACATCAGTCCCTAACCCTCAAGGGGTGTACAATCTAAGGTCCCTAACTCACATTCATACATACACATACTAGGGCCAATTTAGACAGGAGCCAATTCACCTACCAGCATGTCTTTGGAGTGTGGGAGGAAACCGAAGTACCCAGAGGAAACCCACGCAGGCACAGGGAGAACATGCAAACTCCCGGCAGGTGGTGCCGTGGCTGGCATTCAGACCAACGACCCGAGTACTGCCAGGCGGAAGTGCTAACCATTTAGCCACTGTGCTGCCCATTCTTGGGAGAGTGCATGTAACAGGGCCAATCAGCACTGTCCAGATTGAGGGTCAAGGGTCCTGCAGCCTCATAGGACAATCAGAGTTGAATAAAAACTCCTACAAGATTTAACCAGTGTTTTGCTGGACACTGATAGACGTCACAAGACTGCAATAAATTGCTGATGAGAAAAGGTATTTAGCAGTTTATATTTACTACAATAATTGCACTTCTATGTTCTGTGTACTGTGGGAGACCAGATATTGTGAATGCAGGGTCCTGGGTTTACTAACACTTTAAATCTCCAAATTTAACTGAATCACCAAGAGATTGTGTTGATGGCGTTCTAGTCAAATGCTGTGTTTTCTATTTGAACAGATGCAGCTGCTTTGGAACGGAAACCATAACATTTGACAATAAAATAGTGTCCCTGACCTGCTGTGCTTGGAGTTCAAATACACCTTACTAAGTCATTCTGCATCCAAAGGAACACACTGTAGGGAAGAGGTGATGCCTGCTTTCACCCTCCAAATGTCAATCCACTGTGCTGCAATTGCATGCAGTTGCAGTGTGCCGCCATTCACTTAAATGCATTGTGTTCAGTGGTGATACTGCCGTTTTATTTTTTTTAATGCAGTTGTGAAGGACAGAATCATAGCAGTGGCATGGGTACAGCCCTGAGCAGCTGCATTTCGATATTTAGGTGGGCAGTCACTGGGTGATAAAACCATGGCTCAATTGCATGCTTTAATGGCCCTCATGCGAGTCCTAGAACTACAACTAACTACATTGGGGTATTCAGACCTCTCCATAAATACATCCTAAGCCACCTTGAACAGTTTGAATATACACTCACAAGCCACTTTATTCGGTACACTCGTTCAATTGCTTGGTAACACAAATTGCTAATCGGCCAATCACATGGCAGCAACTCAGTGCATCTACACATGGTGAAGACGGCTTTCTGAAGTTCAAAATGAGCATCAGAATGGGGAAGAAAGGGGATTTAAGTGACTCTGAACGTGGCATGGTTGTTGGTGCCAGATGGGCTGGTCTGAGTATTTCAAGAGCTGATCTACTGGGATTTTCATGCACAACCACCTCTAGGTTTACAGAGAATTGTCCGAAAAAGAGAAAATAGCTAGTGAGCAGAAATTGTATGGATGAAAATGCCTTGTGATATCAGAGGAGAATGGGCAGAATGGTTTGAAATGATAGAAAGGCAACAGCAACTCAAATAACCACTCATTACAACCATGGTATGCAGAATACCATCTCTGAATGCAATGGTGAACCTTGAAACAGATGGGCTACAGCAGCAGAAGACCACACCAGGGGCCACTCCTGTCAGCTAAGAACAGGAAAAGGAGGCTACAATTCGCACAGGCTCACCAAAATTGGACAATAGAAGATTGGAAAAATGTTGCCTAGTCTGATGAATCTTGATTGCCATTGCGAAATTCAGATGGTAGAGTCAGAATTTGGCGTAAACATGAAAGCATGGATCCATCCTCCCTTGTATCAACAGTTCAGGCTGGTGGTGGTGGTGTAATGGTGTGGGGTATATTTTCTTGGCACACTTTGGGCCCCTTAACCACCTCCCATCCGGCCCATGTATATAAACGGCAGACGGTGGCAGTGCAGGGTTGGTCCCTGGGAGTGCACAGCACCGCGATCCAGTGCCCGCTGTGTCCTCCGGACACAGTGGAACACCGATCATCGGACGGGACCTCTGTGCAAGGTCCCAATCATGTGATCACTGATTGACCAATCAGTGATCACATGCAGAGTAGTAATCAAGATGGCACTTGTGACATCATTGCTTGCTATGTGTGAAATCTGTGAATGCGGTCACATGGTACAGGGCTATTCACAACAGCCTTGCACCATGTGATAAGCTGTGACCAATCACAGCTCACACAGTAGTTCTCAATGGCTGCAAGAATGCACTAGAGAGAAGGAGAAATTATTGCTTTTACAGCCTTTATGGGTGTAAAAGCAATCAGTGGATAAAAAAAAAAATCATCACCCCCCACAAGTAGTACAGCGTCACCATGGTAACAATCAGTGGATAAAAAAAAAATCATCGCCCCCCACAAGTAGTACAGTGGCACCATGGTAATACTGTCACTGCTAGGGTGACAGTATGTAAAAAAAAAATAATATAGAAAATTAAAAAAAAAAAAAAGTTTAAAAATTATAATTTTTGGTTATAAACTAATTTGGGTTTTTTTTTTTTGTACTAAAAAGATAACAGAATAAATTTTGGCCAAGATTTATGATGAAATACTATTTATTTGCTAAATTTTATAAGAAAAAATGCCACAGCCTACCTGAGTATTGCTGCTGACCATGTCCATCCCTTTATAACAACTACAACGTACTCATCTTCTGATGGCTACTTCCAGCAGGATAATGCACCATGTCACAAAGCTCAAATCATCTCAAACTGGTTTCTAAACATGACAAGGAGTTCACTGCACTCCAATGGCCTCACAGTCACCAGATCTCATTCCAATAGAGCACCTTTGGGACGTGGTGGAGAGGGAGATTTACATCATGGATGTGCAGCTGACAAATCTGCAGCAACTATGTGATAGTATCATCTCAATATGGACCAAAATATCTGAGGAGTGTTTCTTCCCTCCCTGGCATCTTCAGTGGGCACCTGGCTGTGACAGCTTGTGGCTTCACAGCCGGGTGCCCACTGCACATGCGCAAGAAGCACTGCACTTTGTGAATGGCCCCGTAGACACGTGACGGGGGGGAGAGGACAACCTCCGCTTCTGATCACCTTAGGCGAACGCAGCAGAAGTGGGAGCGGATATCTGTCAAATTCGTGTACCCGCTCACCAAGGGTGCCAATCCTTAATGGGGAGTAGGGGACGAAGGCTTACAGTGGAACTTCCCCTTTTGGGTGGAGCTCCACTTTAAGGCAGTTTTGGAGACAAAAGGGGGGCCCAACCCAGCACTAGCAAGGTGTCCCTAATAATGTGTCAGGTGAGTGTATAGAAGCCAGCAAATCTAGCAGGGCAGTGCTGCCATACATGCATGAGAATGGTATTGTGAATGAGGCCCTCCATCGTCCAGAGCTCGGCTCGGATACCTGAGAAGAAGCTGTAGGACCCCCCAGGCCCATAGTGCTTGCTCCCCTTGTACACATCGAAGACTTGTCCCAGCACAGCCAGGTATAGGCCAGGACTGGCCGCTCCCCCATCATAGCTGGACAGCTCCTCCTTACTCATCAGCCTCCCCTCGCCGCTCACCACACATTGCTCAGACAATAGGGAGCTCAGACCGGGGACATCGGCCAAGAACCTCACATCTGTCCGTACAAGTAATACTGCTGCCACACACAGCGCACCGGCTGCCAGGTACCCAAGCATGGGCAATAATACCACTAAATGAATGGCGCCGCAAGGTCTCTCCAAAACACCGCTACTTCCGGGTAATGGAAAGCGAGACAGGCACTACACTACAAGCTGGAGCGTGTTGCCATCTAGAGGAAAGGCGGGGCACTACAACGTTCGGCACTAGCACCTCTTACACACAGTGCTCACTAGGGAGCCTACATTCAGGGTTCTGTGGAATCCTACGGTGCGCCCAGAAGTGGCTCTCTTTTCCTACCACAATTGTGAGAGGAAAAGTCTTTCCACTAGCTACCACTGTAAGGGAACCTGTTCTCACTGACCACCGAGGAATTTATTTTAGTAGGGGGTTCTCTGAAAAATGAATGTTATTTCAATAGTTCCTATGGGGTGAAAATGTTGCAGTAGACCAAACTTTCTCAACCTGGGTAATGCAGATTCCTAGGGTTCTTCCAGAGCAGGGGCGGACTGACAACTCATGGGGCCCCTGGCAATAGGGGATCATGGGGCCCTTGTGTCCTTGCCCAAACTCAAAAAAGCCAATGAAAAAGGTACCAGGGCATCTCATGGGGCCCCCTACTGACTCCGGGCCCTTGGGCAGTGCCCGAGTTTCCAAATGGTCAGTATGCCCCTGTTCTAGAGGTTCCTTGAGTAGAGAGCAGTGATGGATTGACCTACTTATAATGTACATCAACGTAAGGGGTCAGTTCTGCACTGATAAAATGGTAAGAAGGCACTTCCCCACTGACTACAAACGTAAGGGGACACCCCCACTGACCACCAACGTAAAAGGGCACTTCCCCACTGACCACCAACGTAAGGGGACACTTCCCCACTGAGCGCCAACATAGGGGGGTACTATTCCACTGAACATCAATGTAAGGGGGCACTTCACCTGAGTGCCAGCATAAGGGGACACTTCCCCAATGACCACCAACGTAAGGGGACACTTCCCCACTGACCACCAACGTAAGGGGACACTTCCCCACTGACCACCAACGTAAGGGGACACTTCCCCACTGACCACCAACGTAAGGGGACACTTCCCCACTGACCACCAACGTAAGGGGACACTTCCCCACTGACCACCAACGTAAGGGGACACTTCCCCACTGCCCACCAACGTCAGGGGACACTTCCCCACTGCCCACCAACGTCAGGGGACACTTCCCCACTGCCCACCCACGTCAGGGGACACTTCCCCACTGCCCACCCACGTCAGGGGACACTTCCCCACTGCCCACCAACGTCAGGGGACACTTCCCCACTGCCCACCAACGTAAGGGGACACTTCCCCACTGCCCACCAACGTAAGGGGACACTTCCCCACTGCCCACCAACGTAAGGGGACACTTCCCCACTGACCACCAATATAAGGGGACACTTCCCCACTGACCACAAACATAAAAGGTACACTTCCCTACTGACCACCAACGTAAGGGGCGATCCCTTCTGAGCACCAACATAAGAGGGCACTTCCCCACTGACCACCAACATAAGGGGATACTTCCCCACTGACCACCAATGTTAGGGAAACACTCCCCACTGGCCACCAGCATAAGAGGGCACTTCCCCACTGACCACCAATGTAAGGGGACACTTCCCTACTGACCACCAACGTAAGGGGCGGCCCCGCTGAGCACCAACATAAGGGGACACTTCCCCACTGACCACCAATGTAAGGAAACACTTCCCTACTAACCATCAACATACGGGACACTCCCCACTGAGCACCAATGTAAAGGGGCACTTCTCCACTGACCGCCAATGTAGGGGACATTTCCCCACTGAGCACCAACATAGGGGGGCACTATTCTACTGAACACCAATGTACGGAGGCACTTCTCCACTGAGCACTGTTAGGGAGCACTTCTCCACCTGAGCACCAACATAAGGGGGTACTTCTCCATTGAGCTCCAATGTAAGGGGGCACTTCTCCATTGAGCTCCAATGTAAGGGGGCACTTCTCCACTGACCGCCAATGTAGGGGACATTTCCCCACTGAGCACCAACATAGGGGGGCACTATTCTACTGAACACCAATGTACGGAGGCACTTCTCCACTGAGCACTGTTAGGGAGCACTTCTCCACCTGAGCACCAACATAAGGGGGTACTTCTCCATTGAGCTCCAATGTAAGGGGGCACTTCTCCATTGAGCTTCAATGTAAGGGGGCACTTCTCCATTGAGCTTCAATGTAAGGGGGCACTTCTCCATTGAGCTCCAATGTAAGGGGGCACTTCTCCACTGAGTGCCAATGTAAGGGGTTGCTTCTGCCCTGCCCACCATGTAAGGGTATGCTTCTGCACCGACCTCCAATGTAAGGGTATGCTTCCACACTGACTGCCAATGTAAGAGGGCACGTCTCCATTGACCACCAATATAAGGGGACACTTCTTCACCAACCTCCAATGTAAGGAGATACTTCTCCACTGACCTCCAATATAAAGGGACACTTCTCCACCACGAGAAGAGATTCACAAAAAAGTGGTCTCATAATGGACAGAGTGTGATACTCAAAGTAGTTCCAAAAATGATGCTTTATTACACAATATAAATAGACAATTAGGGTAAATACCCTGGTTCACCATCACCTCAGTATGACATAATACAAAAAGACCTAAAATCACATAAAAGCAACATCAAGATCGGTCTTAGTGATAGAGTGCTGCATATATAGTGACAGATAACTGTCTAATACACTTGCAGCACCAACACATTGGTTACATCACCTGGTACCTACCTCCCAAAGAGCCTCCCAGTACATATCTGAACCCCTTCCATCCCACCTTTTTAGTCCTCTCTACTCCACAAGGCCCCTCGCCCCACCTTCTATCACAAGTGCTCCACCCCCAACACATGTCCAAAGCCTTTTTTTTTTTTTTAACCATGACCATTAAACCCCTCCCATTGCAAATTTTGGCCACACCCACTTTTTGCCTCTACCTCCCCCTTAAGTGTCCCACATTATCAAGTTTGAAAGTTGGCAGGTATGCTTTCACCTCAGGCCACATGTGGATGCATGGTCCTTTCAGAAGTCTGGCAGAACAAATGCCAGGCTTCCCAAGCATTATGCCTGTGTGGCTGAACCCTTTCAACTTTTGGCTCATGCTAGCACAGGCTCCTAGAAAAGCAGGAGGGCATCCAGTAAGAGGAGAGCTGGAATATGACGTTACTTACGTAATATCGCCATATCCCTGCCACTCCTAAATCTGCTCCACTGCTACCACTGCTTTTCACAAAAAACAAAACACACCAAAATCCTCATTATCAGGACAATGATACTTTTAATCCTAACCCTGGGCACGCCTATACCTGAGCTGTACCCATATCCCAAGAGTTAAAACCAAAAATGCTATATATTGCAGCTTAAAAAATCATTAGATGTGAAGGCTGCATTTTTTATTTTTTTTTTAGGCTTTTTTTAGGATAAGGCCTAGTAACTCACCTCCTGTATTAGAGTGCCTCCACCCTGGATGAAGTTGCAACAGAGACTCCTTTGGAAAGCAGCATTGTCAGTTTGGTGGGGGGCTGGAGTGTTAGATGCATTAGCAGATTTAGATACACTAACAAACTGAATGCCAACCTCCAGCTATCACCTTATAAGCAGTTACAGCAAACAGTGTTCTTTTTGGGATAAAGGTTTTACATTAATAAATAAAAGATGATCACTGTAAGTATCTATCAGAGGTAAATGGTTTGTCCCAACCCTCTGCTACATCTGCAGGACAGCTTATTCTGTAAAAAAAACAAAAAAAAAAACAGACTTATTGGCTGAATCAGGTGAAAATGAAAGAAAGCCTAGAAAAGGAAACTAAAGTGGCTATCACATCTAAGAATTGGAAATCTGTATATAAATGTTTGCTTTTGGTTTTAATACTGCTTTAGGAAGGCGATGGGTAGGTGGCAAGAATTTAAAAATAACTAGTGAAACTGCAGCAACTCTATTGCACCTTATGGTTACTACTGTACAGCATTTTTTGTTTACAAAATCTCTCTTTACTATAGGTTTGGTTAAGTAACCGGATTTCGCTGTGCTTTTTCAAAGAAGTTCACAAAAACAGGCACTGCTGGTCTGACAACATGCTAGGGAAGCCTTTGTTCTGGCTGGTTAGGTATGGCAGATTTTCTTCTTCACTTGTTATTTCATTAGCTGCTTGAAACATGAACTAGGCAACTTCCTTACTGCTGCTATAGATACTGATAGCAGTTCATAAGTTAAAAAGATAAGGGTTAGATTTGTGTTTTCTTATTATACAAAAGGTATGAAACCTTGATCCTTGGAATTACCTCGATGCTTCTAAAGTATGATCACATTCATATTACGTGACAATACGAGTTACACAGTAGCAAAGTTCAGGTCGCCGCCTATAAAAGTCAACATACTTTTTGCCTTTCTCTGTAAGATTCTATTATGTTACCTGTTGTGTTACTAGGAAATGTGTCACATCAGTTCCAGTTCCCAATGAAAAACTTCTTTAAAGAAAAGTACCAATCATTTTTAGATTTGTTTCTATTCTCCTGTTACAGAAGAACTTCGGGCAAAATTTTTATTTTGCCATGGAGTGGGGCCGTGCCCGCATTGCATGGGTTAACTGCTCGTTTATGTCTAGGGGATTGCAGAGCAGAGATATACTCACTTAATCCATTGATCCTCCAAGTGCAAGACTGGTCCCCACCGATTCTGCCCCCCACACGCTAACGGTCTTGGGAATGGACCAGGGACTGACTGTCCTTGCCCAAACTCAAAAAAGCCTATGAAAAAGGTACCAGGGGCATCTCATGGGGCCCCCTACTGACCCCGGGCCCTCGGGCGGTGCCCGATTTTCCAAATGGTCAGTCCGCCCTTGGAATGGACTGTTCCTGATGTTTTCATGCCCATAGACTGGCACTCGACATGAGGATGGCAGGAACAGTCCACTGCTGGACGTGGGGGAGTGCTGTTTTCCGTAGGATTGAAGGATCAGGTAAGTATAGCTTTTTCTTGCACCCCTAGACAAAACGAGAAGTTAAACCTGTGTAGTGCAGGCACAGATACACTACACGACGAAAAAAAAAATTGCCCGGAGTT